GGTTTGAACTCAGGGCCTTCACCTTAAGCCACTCCACCAGCCCTTTTTTGTGATGTTTTTTTTCAAGATAGGGTCTCATGGAACTATTTGCCTGAGCTGGCTTTGAATCTCAATCCTCCTGATTTCTGCCACCTGAGTAGCTAGGATTATAGGCATGAGCCACCCGCGCCCAGCCCCCCCAAAAAAATGTCTTTTAAAGATGAGTTCAGCATAACCGAAATTAAAAACTTTTGTGTTGCAAAATTCATTGTTAAAAAAATGAAAAGAAACCACATACTGTCAATTGCCTATTTAACAAACGACTTGTCTTCGGTGAATGTCAAAACGTATAATAAGACAATAATTCTATACAGAAAGCCAAAATATTTGAACAGACACTTCGCCATATATGAATGGCAAAGAAAGAACATAAAAAGATGCCCAACATCAGTGGTCATTAGGGAAATTCAAATTAAAATCACAATGCACTATACCCATTAGGACAGCTAAAATAAAAAAATACCCGCAATACTAAGGGCTGACAAGAACAAGAGCACCTCTCTTACCTTGCTGAGAGGAATGCAAAATGAAAACCTGTTTCCACTTAGGGAAACAGATTGGCCACTTCTAAGAAAGTTAAACGCATAGCTACCAAATGACTCAGCAACGTCACTTCTAGGAATTTACCCTTACCTTTGTATAAAAAGCTATAAAAAAGTGTTTCTGGAAGCATCATTCGCAATCACGAAACACTGGAAACAACCCAAAGTCCATCGAAATGCATGAATGGAATACTATTCAGCCACAAAAAGGCAGGAACTGTTTAATACACGCATTGGCAAACATGAACCCCAAAGGCACTGTGCTAGGTGAAAGAAGAGAGTCTCCAAAGATAAAATACTGCCTGCTTCCACTTACATGACCTTCGGGAAAGACAGAGCAGGGGGTGGTTGCCCAGAGCTAGACATCAGGGCTAACTACAGAAGGGAAGTCTCTGGTGGGGGTCGAAATGACTCTCCATCCCATTTGTGGTGAGCGTTAGAAGAATCTGCGCATTTGTTACAGTTAAACAGGAGAAGTTCTGAAGTTCTGCTGTACAGTAGGGGATACAGACAATGGTATTGTACTATGTATATATTTTTTAAAGCTAAAAGAAAAGATTTCGAAGGTTTCCACCACAAAGAAATGATAGTTATTTGAGTACATAGATATATTTACCCTGATTTAAACATTACATGTATCAAAACATCACATAACTGTGTCCAACTTATGGGTATCAGATTTTTTTAATGCAAAAAGAATCTATGCATGCATTAAAATTCATAGAATGGGCTGGGCGCCAGTGGCTCACGCCTGTAATCCTAGCTACTTAGGAGCAGAGATGAGGAGGATCGCTGCTCAAAGCCAGACCTGGGCAAATAGCTTGCCAGACGCTATCTTTAAAAAACCAACCCAAAAAGTGTTGGAGGAGTGGCTCAAGGTATAGGCCCTGAGTTCAAACCCCAGTACTGCAATAAATAAATAATGAATAAAATTCATAGAATTTTAAGTGAATTCTAATGTAGGTAAATTTTATACACTTAAAATCAGCAAGTCGGGTTTTGAAGCTGACTTAGTACCAGGCCTTAGTAAATGTGCCCCAGGAAGGATACCTACTTGAAACAAAAACAGAAGCAGGCACTTGGAGGGTTTTTCAGCAGCACACAGTGCTTCCCTAGTTCAGCGTCTTTCTGACTCTGCAAATTCACAGTAAGAAAATTAGGGAGTCCAGGAGCACTGAAAAAATCACATTGTCAACATGTATCGAGTACCTTGCTAGAAAGAGGGTTCTCATAAGGCCCATTCCTTATTCCCTGAAGAAGGGGGAGCCTCGTGTCAAGAGCGGCTCCTGGGCTGGATCTACTCCATGGGCCTCTTGGAATTTTGACCCTGAATTTGTGAAGCCAAGGAATCCGTGGGAGAAGTTGGCCTGATAGACTGTGGGGGATGGTTCTGGCTGTTGTTGTTTCACTGTGTGTGTGCTTGTGAGTGTGTAGTGTATGGAGTATGGGTATGTGGTGTGGGGGGCGGTGTGTGTATATGTGTTGTGTGTGTGGTGTGTGCAGTGTGTGTATGTATGGTGTGTGTACGTGTATATGTATGCTGTACATGCGGCACAGTGTGTGCAGTGTGTGTGTGGGGGTGCGTGTGGTTGTCTATGTGTGGGGGGTGTGCAGGTGTGGGGTGTGTGGTTGTATGTGTATGTCTGGTGTGTGCGGTGTGTGTGGGGGAGGTGTGCTTGTATGTGGGGGTGTGTGCGGGTATGGGGTGTGTGCGGTGTATGTGGTGTGTGTTTGTATGGAGTGTGTGGTTGCATGTGTGGTGTTATGTGTTGTGTGTGTGTGTGTGGTTGTGGTGTATGCGGTGTGTGTGTGCGTATGGGGTGTGTGGTTTGTGTGTGTGGTTGTGTGTGGGGAGATGTATGCGGGGTGTGTGTGTATGGGGTGTGTGGTTGTGTGTGGGGGGGTATATGCAGTGTATGTGTGTTGTGTATGTGTGTGGCATGTGTGGGGGAGGCATGTGGTTGTGTGTGTGTGTGTGGTGTATGTGGTATGTGTGTGTAAGGGGTGTGGTTTGTGTGTGGTTGTGTGTGGGGAGATGTATGCAGTGTGTGTGTGGCATGTATGTTTGTGGTTGTGTGTGTGTGGTTGTATGGTGTGGGGGTGATGTATGTGGTGTGTGTGTGTATGGTGTGTAGTTGTGTGGGAGTGGGTGTATTCAGTGTGTGTGTGTGGCGTGTATGTGTATGTGGTATGTGGTGTGTGTGGTTGTGCGTGGGGGTGTGGTGTATGTGGTTGTGTGTGGTATGTGTGTGTATGAGGTGTGTGTGGGGGGTGTGGGGTATGTGGTTGTGAATTGTGTGTGTGGACTCTCCTATACTTCGCTGTTTGAATGCGTAGCACACCTCTGTGGGCTGATGTTCCATGGGTGACAAAGCTGCTGTTTACTAGGACACAGCAGTGCTGCTGGTACTCACGTTGATCGGCTGGTAGGGAGGCCTGTGTTGGTGAGTGGTGAGCAAACATCAAGCCCTGTAATCCTCCCGCTGCTTTGGGGTCTTCTGCCTCTCCCTTTACTTTCTGAAAGCTTCATACAGAGGCAGCGGGGCATTTCGCTGTCCAGCTGTATGAACTTGGGGGAGCCTGGGTATTTTACTGTCTTCTAGCAGGGTCTGTAGCAAGGCATCTTTTTCTTATTCTAGGTCTATTGCTGGCATCTCTCCAGCTTCCTTTTGAGGGCTCTGTCCTTTCCACTGGTGCTCCCCACCCTTGCAGTCCCCGGGAGAGTCCCCTGTCTCCCTCGTGGTGTTGGCCTGGGACCAGTTTCTCAGCCCAGCAGACGTGTTCTGAAGCATCATGAGTGAGCCTGGGGCTACAAAAGCCAGAGGGGAAGCCTGGCCAGAGTTGAGAGCCACACTTTTCTTTGATGTCTTAATCTGTGTGTCCATTGTGTCCAGGTTTCTGACCTTCAGCCTGGAGCACACAGCCCTGAATGGCCCTCGGATACATTTCAGAGGGATCATGTACTTAATGAGATAAAAGCTGCACCTTCATTTTCACTAACGTCTAATTGAAATGGAGTATTTCATTCTGTTGTGATTGGAACTGCAGTACGTGTGACGTCACCTCTAGAAATCAGATATTTTTGTTTACAACTCACAGCTTTTTAAAGTTCATCACTGTGTCAGATTACAATAGTTATGATATCTGCTGATAGGTTTTGGCACTTAGCAAAGAGAAGTATATGTATTGCTGTATTACAAATGTGTTCTGTTCCTCAGTATTCTGGTAACATTCTCATAATTGGTTTTCTTCATCACACGGTGTAGGTGTTTTGTTTGGTTTGGTTTGGTTTGGGGTCCTCACATTTGGTAGGGCAAGCATTTTACCTTAACTAAATCACCAGCCTAGACAATGTGTTTTGAGAGCATTTAAAAATATCATTCTGAGAAAGGGTCTATGGACTTTATCAGACCCCCAAGAGACTCAGGACACCAAGAAGGTTAAGAGCCCTGCCATCTGCCTGGGATTTGGAGATTCATATAAAATTGGCTCACCTTTCCCTACCCACTATTCCCTTCAGAATTCCTGAAAATTCTGTTCTCATGTCCCTGCTCCTGGGACTTCCCATCTCAGTCCTGTGTGTCTAAAATGGGGAAAGTGCCCGCCCCTCCCGCCACTGACTTCCCTCAAACCCAGTGATGTGTCTTCAGCCCCAGGGGGAAGCACTGTGGAGCTGGGGAGGGACTAGAAGGTTCATAGCATGGCAGAAGACTGTGGACTGAATACTAGACACCCTCAGTTCTGGAAAAGTTCCTGGGCCCATGGCCACAAGGAAAGAAGTTCTTGTGGGAGAGTGACAGCCACTGCCATGTGTCATTCTCTTCAAATAAGGTTCCTTCTTGGGCTTTGGCCATATGCTAGGGTTCCAGGTCATCATTTATTCAGACCTGCTTCACTCCCTCCTGCTCTCACCCCCTCCAATTCCATGTGCACAGAAGACCTTGTTTCTACACAAAGCCATTTTCTCTCCAAGGTACACTCTGCCAACAATTAGAGCAATTCTTTTCCTACCACTACACTCTTGTGCAGTTCATCATGATCTGAAGATTAAACAAAGAACTTGGGAGATATTTTAGCCAGTCATGGTAGTTCACACCTATAATCCCAGCCCTCAGGAGGCTGAGGCAGGAGGATCGTGAGTTTGAGCTCGAGGTCAGCCTGCACTACAGAGAGAGTTCAAAGCAAACTTGAGCTATTACATAGAGACACCCTGCCTCAAACAAACAAAAACCTGAAGACAAAAGATTATTTCCTAGAGATCCTTTAAAGATTTGTACGGCCAGAGGAATTGCTTTGAAGAGGTAGGCTGTGCATTCAAGAAATATTTACTTTCTTTCCAAAATTCTAGATTCAGAACAGTGAAGGGTGATAGTACCTGTCACAGCATTCCAGACTTTCAGAGAAGGCACAGTCCTTAACACTTGGTGACTATTTTTTTCTTTTTGCAGTACTGGGTTTGAACTCAGGGCCTTGCACTTGCTAAGCAAGTGCTCTCACACTTGAGCCACTCCACCAACCCAACACTCGATGACTTTTGAGTTGATTCCCTCTTAAACTAGATTTTATTCTTCAATCCACGGATCCCAGTGGACTCACATGGCTCTGTTACGAAAAGGTAAGATGGCAACTTTTGAAGATAGTGATGAAAAAAGAGGAGTGTTTTGATGCTGAGCTAGCACTCTCTCTTTCTCTCTGTCTCTCTGTCTCTCTCTCTCTCTCCCTTCTTGTGTGATTTTCATGGGCCATTTTCCCACAAGCAATGTCTGGCATCATTTCAGGCTGGTCCCTGTGGAAAGTTGTTACATATTTTGGTCAGAAGTGGACTTACCATGAATGGAGTCATATAGTTCTATAAAACTTGAAAAAATAATTGATTTCTGTATTCTCAATAAATTCTCACAATCATGTTTATTTTACCATTTGTAATTTTTAAATTTTTATTCTTAAAGGGTCACCTCAAATCTTCAGAACTATCAAAACTTAGATTTGCCCCTGATTTTAGACTAGTGGTTTGTGAATTTGGGGAGAAACACAGTAACCTAATTCCATTGCCATTACTCTCAGGATAGAGTTACCCAATTTGGCAAATGAAAACACAGGCCATCCAGTTAAATTTGAACTTCAGATAAACAAGGAATAATTTTCTAGTGTAAGGATGTCCCAAATATTGCATACAACTTACTTAACCTAAAAAAAATAATTTTATCTGGCAGCCCTATGTCAATGGTAACAGGGACAGTTAGAAGGGTCACATGATGGAAGACATTGGACCACCTACCCAAATGCAGTGGAGGTGAATTTTTTTTTTTTTTGAGGTACTGGGGTTTGAACTCAGGGCTTCATGTTTGCTACGCAGGTGCCCTCCCACTTGAGCCACATCCCAGCCCTTTCTTGCTCTGGTTATTTTGGAGAAAGGGTTTCACTTTTTTCTCATGGCTGCCTGGACCATGATCCCTTATTTTAAGCTTCCTGCCATCGCTGGGATGACAGCGATGCCCAGTTTTTTTCCCATTAAGATGGAATCTCACAAACTTTTGGCCCAAAGTGTCTCAAACTGATATCCTCCTGATCTCAGCCTCTCAAGCAGATAGGATTACAGGTGTGAGCTACCCCAGCCCTGCTGGCAGGTGAATATTGATACAACCCATTGATAAGCTATAGAATTTTGTCCCTTCTGCTTCTCCATAGTTTTGTGTTAAACTGGGTCTGGTATATGGTTATCTTTGATGATAACCCAGAAAGTTAGGGAGGAGCTAGAAGTCAGCAAGGTAGAGTTACCAAGCCTCAGAGTGTAGTTTGGAAAGGCATGTAGACTCCCCAATGCCTTTCTTTTGTAAATATGGAGACAAAGGCCTTGGAAATCAAAACATAAACCAGTATGAGGCCAGTTAAGTCTCTCTCTCTCTCTCTCTCTCTCTCTCTCTCTCTCTGTCTTTCTTTTTTGCAGTACTGGAGTTTGAACTCAGGGCCTCACGCTTGCTAGGCAGGTTCTCTACCACTTGAGCCACTCTGCCAGCCCGCCTTACAGTAAATGGGAAAAGATTTATCTCCTTTCATAAAAAAAAAAAGGTGATTATACAAATATATTCAGTTATAAGAATATTGGTCAATCCTTGTTAGCTTTTGTTGCCTGTCTGCACAGGAAGTTAGAAAGGTTGACTTTTTCACACTGGGATTTTATATCGCTTAACTCTATGAACATCAACTTCCTCCATCATCTCATGCATAACCAGTGCTGGGTGTTCCACGGTAGTCCTGTCCTACACTGCTCTGCTTTTCAGTAGATCCCACGAGCAAGCATCACTAATGTAGAACAGATGGAGGCAAAGAAACAGAAACATTGGTATGGTCTTCCACCTTTTTACCCAGGGCAAGAATTTTCTACACATCATCCTTGACCAGTGGTCAGATTAACTGAAAAGCAACTGCATTCTAATAGCTGAAAGCATGTACTCATAATTAGGACTGCTCTTAAAAGCGTTATATAAACGCTATTGTCTGAAACAAAGTATTCATGCACAGGAAGTGACTCCAAAGGCAGCCTCCTGTGATGTGATGACCAAGTTCACAGCCTCTGCTGTCCGCCTGGGCAGTGTACCAGGTCAACACATCACTCCATGTGCTATCTGCTTAAAGAAATGTCCCAGGCCACCACGTCCTCAGTACGCCCTGGAAGGCATCTGTTCAGGTCGATGGGTTAAACTTTGACATGCTTCCATTTTCATTTCAGTTAATCAAGTGCTGCTGTTCCTTCTGATCGTGACCCTCTGTGCAATTCTGTACAAGAAAGTTCATAAGGCTGCTGTGCTCAAGGGTGAAGCAGGTAGGCAAGCATGGAGTCCATCGATACAGAACACTTAGGAGTGTGGTACCAGTGTGTTCCTTTGGGTCCCTGGGTTCAGGAACCAGTAACAACGTGGTCAGCTCCCAAGGACTTGCTTGAGGAAAATTCATCCAAGGTCAACTGGTCAGTTGTGCTCTAGAGTGGTCAGTGCTATTCAAACCATAGCATATGTAAGATTCATACAGAGGTCTCGTCATAACACACCACTGGGCTCCAGCTGAGAGGTTCAGAATCATAAGTATGGGGCTGGACCCGAGAATTTACGTTCTGATAAGCTCATGCTCTTGGTTCTTGGGCCACACTTGGAGCATCCTGCTCTGCATCCCATCACTTTGGAGCCTCTCAACATTTTGCTTATAAAAATTTACTTCTCTCTTTCCTCCCAACTGGTCCATTCCCATTAGGGCCCAAACAGCCTCTTTTATGGCTTGGATTTGAAGCATCCCCTAAAAAGGCTCATGTATGGAAGACTGGACCTGACACAAGCAGTGTTCACAAGTGGAACTTTTGGGAAATGACTGAATCAAGAGGGCTCTGGTTTCATCAATGGACCAATCCATTGAGGAATTCAAAATTTGAACTGACCATGGAAAGGTGGTAGAACTGTGGAAGGTGGGGCCTTAACAAGGCGGTATATTGCTGGGAGCATGTTGTTGAAGGGTATCTTCCCCTGACTACACTTCTCTCAGCCTCCTGGCCACCATAAGGTAAGCCGCCTCCTCTACCACACACTCTTGCCGCCATGATTACCTCACTACAAGCCCATCACAATGGAGCAGACAAACCATGGACTGAAACTCTGAAACCATGAGCTAAAACAAATCCATTTTCCCTTAGGTTGTTTCTCTCAGGTATTTGTCACAGTGACAAAGCACTGACTAACTCATAACTCTCAACTTAAAAATGATCCTTCATTGCCAGGTGTGGTGGTGTACACTTGTAATTCCACTACTCAGGAAGCTGAGGCAGGAGAATCATAAATTTAAGGTCAGCCTTGATTACATAGCAAGATCCTGCACCAAAACAAATAAACAAGCAACACCTCAAGGCTGGAGATGTAGCTCAGTGGTAGGGCACTTGCCTAGCATGTGCAGGGCCCCAGATTCCATCCCCAGCACTGGAAAAAATATTCTTCATTGACCCCCACGTCCCTTCTGACAGCACCAAGAGCTCTGTTTCCCTCCTCGGGGATGAATTGCATGAGCTAGCAAGTTCACAAACCCAAAACACGCAAAGTCAACCCCAAAAGAATCAAGCAGCACCATTACTGTGTTTGTTACATTTTAAATTATTTACTTTTAGTATTAGTCAAGAAAATAAACTCACTTGTAGAAAATACAGAAGGGAAAAATATTACCTGTAACTGCATCAGCTGAAGAAAAAAAGTCAGTGACTGTTTTGGCGTGTGACATACACTCAGGGACTAGAGACAAAACAGTGAACAAAACAGTGTCTCTGCTCCCACAAAGCAGGCATTTCTTTCTGGTTATTTTTTAAATTATAAATCACTTAAATGTAATCTGGTCCAAAAGAGCACAGGAGAGCATCTGGAAAGAGAATGATTTCCACAAGATGACATATATGTGAGTGTTCACAGAGCAACAGTCCCAAACTGGACACAATCCATGGGTCCATCGACTAGTGAATGGATAAAGGAAGTGTAGTATGTCCACACTCTGGAGTACTTTCCACAAAAAAAAGGAACAAATTACTGACACAAACTAAAATACACATGAACCTCAAAAACAGAATGCTACATGAAAGAAAACCAGACCTGAAAGACCACATATTGTTTGATTTCCCCTTAGATGAAATTTCTAGAAAAGGCAAGGAAATCCAAGACCAAGTGCCAGCAAGGTTGGCTTCTCCTGAGGCCTCTCTCCTTGGCCAGCAGATAACTGCCATTTCACTATGTTCCCACATGGCCTTTCCTCTGTGGACACCCCCTAGTGTCTCTTCCTCCTCTTATTAAGGTACCAGTCCTTTTGGCTTAGGGCCCCACCCTGGTGGCCTCATTTTTACTTAATTTCCTCTTTAAAGTTCCCATCTCCAAATACAGTCATCATATCCAGAGTTACTGGAGGTCAGGATTTTACATATGAATTTGAATTTGGTGGTGGGGAGATTCACAATTCAGTACATCATAGTATCTGTATTATACCTCAACAAACTGTTTTTTAAGAGAGAGTTGGGCATGGTGACACCTTTAATTCAGCTATTTGGGATGTGGAGATGGGATGATTGAAGTCCAAGACCACACTGGGCAAAGTCACAAGACCCCACCTGAAAAATAACTAAAGCAAAAAATGGCTGGGGCATGACTCAAGTGATAGAGCGCCTGCCTAGGAAGTGAGACCCTGACTTCAAACGCCAGTACCACAAAGAGAGAGAGAGAGAGAGAGAGAGAGAGAGAGAGTCATACAAGGTCAAATGTCCTCTGAACTTCTGGTTCTTTGCTCCTCCCACTTCACTCCCTGCCCATAAGCCAACACATTCACTCAGTTCATCTGAGTGGGTAAGTCTAACAGCTGTTAAAACAACTGTATGGAAATGCATGTCTCTATTGATTAATCAGCTGCATACAATAAACAAAGCGTTTGGACCACGTGAATGGATCCAGTATCACATTTTTATACCGTTCAGTGTTGAAAAAGAATCTATGTCACCGTGATACCATTGGAAAGAATGCAGTGTTGCTGTGGAAAGATGCCCATGGTGTAAGTGGGAAAAACAAACTGCAGAACCGTTGTGGAAAGTATGATGGCATTTTGGTTTTTATGTGTACTTAGAACTTTCATGAAGGAAGGTTTGAGGTACACATCACACTGTAAGAAATCTGCCTTTGGAACTGGACTGCAAAACACTCACGATTTACCAGATCCTCTTCTGTTTTGGTTGGAAGTTTTTCAAGAAGTGTGTATTAATTTTTATCATTAAAAAATATGGCTGGACATGGTGGCATATGCCTGTAATCCTAGCACTTGGGAGGCTGAGGCAGGAGGATTGCAAGTTTGAGGCCAGCCTGTGTCATACAAGGAGACCCTGTCTCGGAAAAGCTAACACTCCCTCCAAAAGACATGAATTCAAAGAACCAGTGTTATCGGCTAATGCTCAGAAGCCCTGTGAAATCCTGGGCACCATCAGCTGAGATCTTTCCTGTAATGACTTTCCATGTAATCTCCTGATAATTTCTTTGTGATTAGCACACTGGTGAGTCATTCCTATCGCATTTGGGGTGACTCAAGTTAACTTATATGGCTGAAACAATCCTTTTTGAATGGGAATCTGAGTTTTTGGTCTTGGAAGAACAGACATTTCACCTATTGTAGGGACTAGGCATGGCTCCATCAGAAATGCTGCGGGATGGTCTAAGGCAATATCATTTCCAGTCCTTTCTGCCATCTTTCTGATGTTTTCTAGCTTAGCTGGACACCAAACAGCCCCTATAGGCAAACCTTTGAGTGGGCTGACTCAGGCACCAGCTGTTCAATGGATCCCAAGGGTGCAGCAGACAACTCCCAAAGAAGCGTGAGATCGGAGCATTGATGGAGGATTACAGGCAGTTCCCCTTCCATGTGTTTTAGTTCTCAGTGCTCTTAGGCCTTGATCGTTTCGGGGGGCGGGGAGAACTTCCTGGCAGAGAGCAGTGTTTGGGGCTCAGGTTAGCTTCAGGGTGTCTGACTGACAGAGGCTGTCAAGCATAGCAGAGTGATGAGCCTGACGCAGAGAAGTTCGAAATTCTCTTGGGTGCCCCCTCTTTCCTGGGGATGCCTTCCCCTACCTCATGTTGCCTGCTGGAGCCTGGCAGCCAGGCTCTACCTCTGCTTTTCTTTTTCTTTTTTTTTTCCCCACTCTGAAACACATTTCAGTGCCAGCAGCCTATAGGCAGAGGCCAGGCAATGGTTCAGAGCCACAGTTTGCTCTGGTATGGAGCACTATGACTGCTTTTGCTTTTCACCTCCTATCTCTCTCTCTCTCTCTCTCTCTCTCTCTCTCTCTCTATATATATATATATATATATATATATGATCCTTCTAATCTCAGCCTCCCAAGTAGCTAGGATTGCAGGTGTGAGCCACCCAGCGCCCAGTTATCATGGCTTTGATGTCTTTAACAGGTAGCTTCCATCTCCTGGTCTACGATGGATGCTGTACTCCTGTCATCCTATCAACAGTCCAATGAGAAAGGGGAAAGATGATGGGGAGGGTAAGCACTCCTTCTCAGAGGGCAGGCCCAGTAGTTGCACACATTGCTTGAGCTAACATCCCACTTGTCAGAATTAGATGACATGGAGTGGCAAGGGAGTCTGGGAAATGGAGTTTCAGTAGATGCTGTGTGCCCGCTGCAATTTCAACATGTTTCTGAGGGGAGGAGGAGAGACTGGATAGTGGAGACAGACCAGCAGTCTCTTCCCCATCGTGCTGTCTTCCCCCAGGAGAGTAGGAGACTGGTTAAACTGTTGTCCTGCAAAGTTCCTTCATGTTCCAAGTCACTGGTTTTGATGTTTCCAGATGATGACCCTGAGGCCCCGGAGGACATGGAAGAGGAGATCCCGGTTGTGATCTGTGCAGCTGCAGGGCGGATGGGCGCGGCCATGGCCGCCATCAACAGCATCTACAGCAACACGGACGCCAACGTCATGTTCTACGTGGTGGGGCTGCGGAGCACCCTGCCCCGAATACGGTAACTTGGGCTCGGTCGTGTGCGCCACTCGCTTTGAATCTTCTCTTTCTTTCCTTAAGTGACTCCCTTCCTTTGGGGATTGATAACTGCTGTTAGAACGAATGAGAGGATGTGCTGTCTAGTAAGGAAATGGCAGCCAAGCCTCCTTAACTTGGTAAGGCCATGTGTCACTCTCCAAACGTGACCAAAGACGATGGTCCGGATCAGCTTATCTGAAAGTCTTCCTTTCAAAAACGTGTTCCCTTCTCTCTGCTTGCTTAACGTGAGAGAATATAAACATAATCATTTTAATAATTATTATTGGTTTTGAGATGGGGAGGTCTATCTAGCCCAGGATCAAACCTGTGATCCTCCAGCCTTTGCCTCCCAAGTGCTGAGATTATGTTATTGTATACATATGTTACATATATGCATATATGTGTTATTTGTTTTGGTGCTGGGGATTAAACCCTGGCCTCACATATACTAAGTACATGCTCTACCACTGGGCTGTACCCCCAGCCCTATAATTTTTGAACTGCAAACCTGCAATAATATAGTCTTATATATTACGTTATAATGTACTTTTGAACTGATGCTTTTCCTATCACATGCCATACTAAAATAAACAAAATAAAAATTTAAATGTATTATGAAGTTGTGGGAAAGTATATAATATTATGGTATAAACTTGTTATAGAGAATGTCTTCCTGAGCCCAGAATTCATAAGAAAAAAACTGACAGATTTGACTTTCTAACATAAAAGCTGATGAATAATGAAAAACAATGAGTGAAATTAGTTATAAAATAGATAGGGAGAAAATATCCTCAACATGTATTACTGACAAAGGATTACTATTCAAAATAAAGAACTGTTACAAAAAATTTTAAAATACAAGCCTAGTAGAAAAATCACCACAGACTTTGAACAGACAATGAGGCCCTGGATTCCATCTTCAGCACCATAAAAAATGAAAACAAGAGCTGCACATGGTGGCACACGTCTGTAATCCTAGCATTTGGGAGGCTAAGGTAGAAGGATTTTGAGTTTGGAAAAAACCCCTAAGAGTAGCAAGCATGAGGCCTTGAGTTCAAACCCCAGTACTACCACCAAACCAAACAAAACCCCAAAACCCCCCAAAACCCAAAAACCCAAAAAACCTGAGTATGGACAGACAATTCTAGAAGAAAAAATTACAGCCAACAAACTAAGTGGGCAGGAGCTGCTTCCCAGTTCTTGGCATCACAAAGTAAACACTCATGTGACAACCACCACATGGTCACCAACACTTTATATAATCCATAATGGTGGGTCTGATGGATGGCCAGGCTGTGTTGCTGTGGCTTTCAGTTGAAGTTCCCTTGTTTCTGTGGTTGAGCACTTGCACATACATTTCTTGTTTGTTGGATGTGTGTGTTCCAATCTCTTGTCTGTTTTTCTGGTGGGTTGTCCCTTTTTTGTAATTGAAATGACCCATTTTTATGGCTCAAATTTTGCACATCTCAATTTTGTTCAAATTCAATTGTTTTTTCAAGTTTTTTGGCCATGGTGGTGATTGAACCCAGGGTCTCACACATGCGGGGCAAAGGTTCTACCACTGAGTCACACTCTGGCTCTCTTTTGCTAATTTAATCAACAATAAATGCTGTCATGTGTGGCCAGAGTTGTTGGAAATTTTGTCTTGAGATTATTTCTACCAGGAATCTCATGACAAATTGGATAAACGTTCTGTAAGGCTGAGAAATGGAAGGGGAGAGGGAGGAGAAGACAGGGAATTCGGATAGATGGTGGAGACTGAGAGAAAGAGTCAAAGACAGAGGCAAATCCAAATCATCCTTGGAGTCAAAAAGCAGAGAAAAAAGACTTTGGTCAAAGTTTAAGGTCCAGACTGCTCCCAGTTGGTAATGTTTCAGAGCTGGGGTGACAGGGCAAAGGTGGCTTTGGTGACCACAGAGGCTGCTTTATAAAGAGGAAGAAGCACTCTCTGTTCTTCTTGTTTCTTGGGGAGAATATTTGGATCTGAGGAGATATTTAGCTATTACTATTTTGCTTCATTTCTTTGCAGAAAGAATTATGTGATTGAGGGAGTTTAAAAAAAAAAAAAAAGGAAACACTTGAAGGCCAACCAGATGAGAACACAATCAGAAGTAATTATAGACTAAATTCTACTAAGTGTGCACACATTTTATTTTTAACTTTCTAAGGTGGAAACAGATTGGGCCTGTGGCAAATGGAGGAAGGATTTGAAGTGGTTTTTTGTTGTCTCTTTAGAAAATGGATTGAACATTCTAAACTGAGAGAAATAAACTTTAGAATCGTGGAATTCAACCCTGTAGTCCTGAGGGGGAAGATTAGACCGGATTCATCACGGCCTGAATTGCTCCAGCCTGTGAGTAGGAATGACGTCACTGCTGGGGACAGTCCTGGTGAGACCCTGTTCATTGTGGAGCACCAGCCACCAGGATGAAGCCTCCTAAGTGTTAGACTGCCACAGATGTCCACTTTTTTATCATTTATATACCACCTGCTCCAGGAAGGATTCAAGATAGTTTACATGAACGTAATGGAGCAGTTAAAAAGAAATGAAGCATAGACAATGCTGTCTGTGGGTGGGAGCTGGAGGTGGGCCAGGAAAAAAAATCCCAGCCTGTAATCTATTGAATGTGCTGTGTGCAAACATTAGTTAGCCCCAAGTTTCCCAGTGGTCAAGGAGAAAACAGCAATGTGTGGAATCTGTGTCCCTGAGTGTTGACTGAGAGCATATTTCAGGAGACACCTATGATCTTACTAGCATCAGGAACCATAAAGTATTTTCCTATAAGAATACTTATAAGAGGGGCCTCTCCTGCAGGAAGAGTGGTGGCTTTTTGAGACAGGGTCTCGCCTTGGAGCCCAGAGTGGCTTTGAACACTGGGTCCTCCTACCTGAACTCATGATCTTCCTGCTTCACATTTCTAAGTGCTGGGATTACAGGTGTGCACCACCACACCCAGATAGTGATATTTCTGATGGTAGTTTTACAGAACCTGCAGATGCGTTCTACATGTGATTGTTACCTAAATCCACCCTTGCAAATTTACTAAATTCTAAGCCCTCTGTCCAGATGTTCATAGTTGGAGTTAGGCCCATCAAACGTGTTATTAACGAAACTAAAACTCATTACCTTTTCCTGGATCAAGGAGCTAAAAGGTTGACCTGGGATAACACACAACTGATTGTGCATTTTTGTGTGTCTTTAAGGCTGGCTTAGTTGAGGGATAATCTTAGTTTTGGAGAAATCTGTGCCCTGAAGACTGACGGGAGCTTTGGTGACTTGTTCTGTCGTGGCCACAGCCTCAGTGGTTGGGGAGTCTCTATCTAGGAGAGCCACTGATCTGCCAGTGCTGGTCTCAGTTCCAAGGCCCACATAGATCAGGCTCTAGGAAGCTTGGGTGTGACATCGTAGCCTGTCTTTCTCCACACCACAAGTAAAACTGAGTTGAGGCCATTGTCAAAGCTGATGGTCAAGTACACTGAAATGACCTTGAGCCATTTGCCTTCCCCACTGTTGTTTCTCTTGTTTTAACAGCTGAACTTCGTTCGATTTTATCTCCCTCTGCTCATTCAGCATCATGAGAAAGTCATCTATTTGGACGATGATGTGATTGTGCAAGGTACACCTGTGACTGCAGGCATGCTTGGACAGGGGTAGTTGATAAGTAGAGTGACTGTCTCTTCACGTTCTACGTCGCTAGTTGCCCAGTGGCTTTGAGTGTTTATTAAAGTTGTAAGTGCAGCATTTTTTGTAAACTTGGAAATATTTTGAAAGCAGAGTTTGGTGCTTCCCTGCACCATCTGGTTGGCTTTCAGAGGGCCACACTCTGATTGTCAAGTCTGCAGGAAATAGCTGGGTAGCCTTTCCTTTCTGTGCATCCCTAAAATGTACAGAAATAAAGTCTCACTGAGGAAGTCTTAGGGGGAACCTAAGTTGTGATGTTTGGATGTGTGCTATCTCTTCCACAGGCAAATAGGATAAGCATTGCCATGATAACCACCTAGCCATAGAAATGGATTGAACCAGTGCCCATCTGAATTTGTCCAGTGGCTTTCTAAATTGGCACCAGATTTTTTTTTTCTTTTTTGTGGTTTTGGGGATTGAACTCGGGGCCTCGAGCTTGCTAGGAAGGCACTTTACCACTTGAGCCACACCCCCAAGTCCTTTTGCTTTGCTTTATATAGCTTATTTTTCTGATAGGGCCTCACACTTTTATCTGGGCTGGCCTCAAAGCACAATACTCTTATCTCCACCTTTCAAGTAGCTGGGATTGCAGGTATGCGTCATTACACCTCTGTGGGCACCAGCTATTTTTATTAAGCAAAGTACCTGGCCACTAGAAATCAGGGAGCCTGTACTCTTCCCTCTAGCAAAGTCAGTAATTGTTCAAGCTCTAAGGCTCTATTCTAGCTCTGAAATATCTGCTTTGTTTTAATTGCGGGCATTTCCAAATTCAGGTGATATCCAAGAATTATACGACACCGGCTTGGCCCTGGGCCACGCAGCAGCCTTCTCAGATGACTGTGATTTGCCCTCTGCTCAGGACACCAGTAGACTCGTGGGGCTCCAGGTAGGAAATTCACCTTTTTGTCCTGGTTCCTTCCCCTTCCCAGCAGCTCAAAATGAGTGCAACTTACACCTCCAAAGCCCTGAGAGCCAGTGGGAACTTCTAGGAGGCAGGACAGCAGGGGGTGAGGTGGGGGCATGTCTGGGAGGGATGCCTGGGCTTGTCATTCATGTCCCTGCTTCTTTCCTCACTTACTGGGGTGAAGTGCTTTAGCCCTGCACAGTCCCACTTTCCTAATCTAAAACAGCACCGACATTGTCTGCTCTGCTGTGTTTTGGGAGCTGTAATGAGACGTGTGGTGTCAAACGGTCAGCAGGTAGCAAAGGCCCAGCATGACAGTTAAGTTACTCATAGTCATACTCTGTTTCAGAGATGGGGTTTCCTGTGAAAGAGACTCACGCTGAACCTGTGGTTCTATTTTCAGAGTTTTGACTGTTACTGGGTTTTATTTTTTCCTTTCGACAGAGGAAAATACTGATTTTGTTCAAGGGTAAAGACTGTCCTACCATGGTGGAAACAAGGAAAACTGAACCAACATGTAATACTGGAGCCAAAAATAGCTTTGAAATACAAAGTTCTATTGAGAATTGAATGCTGTTCTTTAAACAAAGTTCTAGCAAATAATTTTATATGTGACACTTAAGGTACCTTTAGGCATAGGCTCTGGGGCCAGACCAAACTTGGTTAAAATCTTTTTTTTTTTGGTGGAGCTGGGGTTTGAACTCAGGGCCTCTGCCAGCCCTTGGTCAAAATCTTGATGTTATCAATCGGTAGGTTTGACTTGGGCAAGTTACTTAGTCAACCATTCCCCTGCTCCATTTGTCAGAGGTGGTAACTCCGTCCTGCTAGAGCTTCTGTGGGAAGGAAATACATGTGCAGTAATCGTGTGCCTCTAACGAGGTAGTGTGTGCAGAGTTCTTAGGGCAGCGCCTGGCACACAGAAAGCACTCACGTGTTTCCATTACTCCAGTGTCACTGTGAAGAACATCTCGCTGAGGGAAATGATGACAGTGTCCGTGGGTGATTATGAAGTCTGCATTCTTCACACTTTATTCTTTCAACAACTGCTTATTAAGGGCTTGCTACTGTTTGAATTTCTAGTGATACAGCAACGGAACTAGAATTCCTGCCTTTGGTTTACTTTCAAGTGGGAGGAGACAGTAAGCAAGTAAAATACTTAACAGAGGACAGGGGTGGAGGTGGGGTGACAGGGAAAGCTGCACCACCAAGGTGCTGTTTGATCCTACATCAGAAAGAACTGAGGGAAGCCCCTCTGAAGACATTTTGGGGAAAAACATTCCAGGAAGAGGCAGTAGCAAGTGCAAAGATCCTCAGGTGGGGGTGTGGCAGTCAACTGTATTACAGGTGGTCTGCGTGGCAGAGCGATTGAGGTGGAAAGTAACAGAAGTGGGAGAGGTGACTGGAACCAGATGGTGTTGATCATGGAAGGCCCATTTGAGGAACTATGGCATGCGGGCATGCATGCGCACGTGTGTGTGTGTGTATGTGTGTGTGTGCACGCACACGCCTGTGCATACTGGGGATCGAACCAGGGCCTCATGCGTGAACCAGGCACTCTACCACTGAGCTACATCTCCAGCCCTGACTTTCACTGTGAATGAGAAGGGAAGCTTTGGAAGGGCAGAGCATGGCTGATGGGGTGGAAGCAGGAACGCTGGTTAGGAGGAATGTGGAAAATCCTGGTGGTCATGAGTGGTGAATATGGCCTTGAACAGAAAAGCAGCATTGGAGGCTGGGTGTGGATAGCTTCTGAGAAGTTGCGTTTTTGCTTGTTTTTGTGGTGCTGAGGACTGAACCCAGGGCCTTGTGCATGCTGGGCAAGTGCTCTACCACTGAGCCACACCTGAGCATCTGGGTAACTTTGGAAGTTGGGACAAACAGGACTTGCTGAAAGATTTAGATGAGAGATGAGTAAGGAGTCAAGGACAACTTAATGACCCTAGGGTTCTGGCCCAAGTAGAAGACAGAGGTGCTACTGATTGAGATGGGCAGATTGTAGGGAAGTAGCTTTGGGATAGGATTGGGGTCCATTTTTGGCTGTAAATCGTGGCTGCCTTACTAACATCCAAAAGGCAACACTGGGTTGGCAGACTATCGGGAGCGGGAAGGCAGAGGAGGGTTGAGGTTGTCAGCAGATGGTATCCAGCGCTGAGACTGGATGAGGCTGTGTGTAGAGCTGGAGAGAAAGGAACAGCTGCTGGGACTGAGAGCCAGGCACTTCGCATTCAGAGGCTGGAAAACAAGGGGGAACGAGCACAGGGAACTAGGAAAGGGGCCCATGACACAGGAAGAAACCCAGAGATACTGCACAGAGGCTTCGAGATTCCACCCGGTTCCTTTGCAGAACACATACATGGGCTACCTGGACTACCGGAAGAAGGCCATCAAGGACCTTGGCATCAGCCCAAGCACCTGTTCTTTCAATCCTGGAGTGATAGTCGCCAACATGACTGAATGGAAGCACCAGCGCATCACCAAACAGCTGGAGAAATGGATGCAAAAAAACATGGAGTGCGTGTGGGCCTCTCTCCAGCATGCCTCAGGCTTGGGACCAGTGGGATTCAGTTAATTTTCTATGCATAGCTTAGGGGTTAGGGATGGTGCACAGAGATCTTAAGGCAGATTTTCTCAGAGGTTCGTTGACAAAAAAAGGGGACATACAAAGATGAAAATCTTTCCTCAAATGAACTAAATCAGAATGGTGATCCTGTACAACGAGGAGTTCCTTATTCAGTTTTCTAAGTTGTTTAACAATGTGACTTGAGTCTTTCTAACTGAAAATCACTTATCTTAGTTTGTCCTCCTTACATAGATTTGGGGGGGGCTTGTTGTTTTGGTTTCTTTTTTTTGAGGCAGGCTCTCCTTATATAACTTGGGCTAGTCTCAAACTCATGCTTCTCCTGCCTCAGTCTCCTGCATGCTGGATAACAGGTGTATCTCACTGTGCCCTGCATAGATTTTTTTTTTTTTTTTTTGGTACTGGGGTCTGAACTCAGGGCCTTAAGCTTGCTAGGCAGGTGTTTTACCACTTGAGCCGCACGCACAGCCCCTTTTGCTTTGGCATTTTTTGAATAGGGTCTTGTTTTTATGCCCAAGTCAGCCTGGACCATGGTGTGCCTATTTATGCTTCCCAAATAGCTGGGATAATAGGCACTGCCACCAAACTCAGCTACTGGTTGACACAGGGGTCTCACACACTTTTTCGCCTGAGCTGACCTCAAACTGTGATCTTCCTTCTCTTTGCCTCAAGTAGCTAGCCCCACAGATTTGTTTTTTAAGGACTATTTTATAAATCCAATGTTGATTTTTTTTTTTTCAGTACTGGGGATTGAACTGAGCCTTATGCACGCTAGTCAAACACTTAATCACTGAACTACATCCCAGTCTCAGTGTTGATTCTTATGACTTTTTTGTTTTGCCTTGTCTCAGATTGACTTTTAAAATTTGTAATTTTACACTATTTATTAAGAAAATAAAAATAACACAAACACTATCATATCATTGCATTTCCTGTCTTTTTTTTTTGGTGGTACTAGGGTTTGAACTCAGGGCCTCACGCTTGCTAGACTTTACCACTTTAGCCACTCTGCCAGACCTTTTTAGTGTTGTTTTTTTTCGAGATAGGGTCTCACGAACTATTTGCCTGGGCTGGCTTTGAACCTCGATTCTTCTTATCATTGCCTCCTGAGTAGCTAGGGTTACAGGTGTGAGCTACTGGTGCCGGCTCCTCACAGTCTTTTTTTATCTTGATACTTTAAAGCATCATAACCATGAACCTGTCTGTAAATTTATTGTAAATAATATAGGATTAGAATTTGATCTTTTATGTCTACCATAGAAAAATCTGATGGTTAAAATTACAAAATATTACCATTGTGAATGTTGGGGGAGAATGTTGGGTGAGACAGAAGGCTGAGTCTGATTGTGTAGTGAGACTTACCTCCTTGTGAAGGGCAGAGTTAGTTTACTGAGTCTGTGGGAGTCCTGGGCCAAATGTTGCTTCCCCACCCCCTTCTTTAGGGAAAACCTCTACAGCAGCTCCTTGGGAGGCGGGGTGGCCACCTCGCCCATGCTGATCGTGTTTCACGGGAAATACTCCACCATCAATCCTCTCTGGCACATTCGGCACCTGGGTAAGTGTTTTAGCAAAGCCACCAGTGCACGTTTTACAGATCAGTGGGCACAAGCGTGCTGTAGCACCAGGCTCCTCGGTTCAAAGCCCTGGAGTGACCTTGGACAAGTCTAAGTCTCAGGATCAGACTCTGCAAATGCAGGTGGCATTTTTAGCTATGTGAGCAATGGTTCCAAGAATTCATGAAAAGCTAACAGACCATTGCCTAGTATATAGTAGGTGCTGGATAAACTGAACTGTCGTTGAGATAGAACTTTAACTATACAGACCTTTCCATATGCCTTTATTCCTTTCTTGCTGTAATCTATACAGTGGACAAAAGCGAATGAAGTAGCATAATGGCATATGCTTTAGGCAGCAGTAAAATATATCTTTTAAGAAGCAGTTGCTTATGGACTATGTCCCGTGAGTCCCTTAAGTCTTTTATTCACTGTAGGAGTACAAACTCTAGGGTATGAATTCCTTTTTTTCTGTGGTGCTGGGGATGAAATCCACAGCAGGTCATGCTAAGAATCTGCTTTACCACTGAGCTAACCCCAGCTCTAGAGTATGGGTTGGAATTCCAACTATTCCATGACCTTGAGCAAATGACTCAACTCCTCTGTGCCTTAAGTTTCCTCATTTACAAATCAAAGCTAATAGCATCTGATGTTTTTATAAGGGATACATTTCAGAATGCATATAAATTGCTCAGAAGAGAGCCCACCACAGAAGACACATTCACATTCATTCCAACATGGGACACAACCCCTTATCCAGAACCACCGGACCAGACCCATTTAGAAATTTAGAAACATTTGGATTTTCAAAAGGTAGTGTGATGCTGAGTAGGGCCTAAGCTTCACTGCCAGGGAGTTATTTTAAAGCCCTTTGCTTTCAGATCCTTGGGCTGGTTTAGAACTGGAGACAATGGGCTTAGACGACATTACCAATGCCCAGCACATTGCTAAGAACGGGGCCAAGTTCTGTTGAGAACCTGAGTCACCATCCTACAAAATGTTATGTCTCTTATTCTTTACAAAAGAAAGCACAGAATTAACTGGAAACAGCATCCTGTTTCCTCTCAATGGTCCTGTGCAGACTGCATGCGTCTGCATGCGCCTAAGAGCAAGGAAGGGAAGTTAGGCGTGCCATCTGGTTTGATTTATAATAACGTTAAGTCAGTCAACATTTCCAAGTGCAGAGAATTCTACCAAGTAAGAAGTCTACAACAAATTCTGTGTAGGAACAGTTATGGGGAGCTTAGATCAACATGGTCAGAGCATTTTATGATCTTGGAACAGAGAGACTCTGAATTAGACTTAATGAAATATGTGACACTGACAAATAGAAAGGGACATAATCTTCCCAAAGAAAAGAAGTCATCAGGCATGGTCTGCAAGTGAAAGCGCATCTTCACAGAGTCATTTGCAAACTACTGCTCTGGTCCTAGGGCACTGTGGGTGCAGAAAGCAATGTAAACACTATGGGTTAGCTGGGGTCTAAACAGGTAGGCTTTAACGTTTTTAAAACACACGTGGGAGGCCCTGGGTTTGATCCCTAGCACCACAAAAACAAGTAAAATTTCTAAAACAGATTTAACATTTCACCACTCAAACACACCCCTCTGAGGTAGTTCCCCATTGAGGTGAAGACACTACTTTTCACATGAGAGCGCCTCTTCTCAGGTGTGTGTTTTCTTTGTGTCAAGTCTTTGGTAGGTGATGACTGTTCCAATTAAGCTCCTATAGCTTGGAATAGCTAGCTCCTCTTCCATAGCTCCTGTGAAGGAGCTTATGCTTATGGGAAACGAAAGCCAGGTTTTGTTAACATAAACCAGAATAGCATAATCCTCACTAATTATCTCTTTACTCAGTGATTTAAAAAAAAAAAAAATATATATATATAATGAATTCCTTTTACAGAAAGAAAAATTTAACACTATAGAGGCTAGTTTTTTTGAGGCACTGGGGTTTGAACTCAGGGCCTCATGCTTGCTAGGCAGGCGCTCTACCACTTAAGCCACTCTGCCAGCCTTATGGAGGATAGTTTTAGAAAATCATATTCATATGATCTTAACGTGCTTCTAGAAGTATTCTGAAAATATTCTGAGCAATGGCAATATTAAGATATCTTCACTTATATAAACCCTGGGTTTTTTTAACCATGAATTTGTAAATAATTATTAACAATTGCATTTGTCTAACAAACCTCTAATTTTCCTCTGCATACATGAAGGCTGGAATCCAGATGCCAGATATTCGGAGCATTTTCTGCAGGAGGCTAAGTTACTCCACTGGAATGGAAGACACAAGCCTTGGGACTTCCCTAGTGTTCACAATGACTTATGGGAAAGCTGGTTCGTCCCTGACCCTGCAGGGATATTTAAACTCAATCGCAATAGTTGATTGAACCCAATGTTGAAAGTATTCCCCGTACAAATGCACAATTAGAACTGTCCTTTTGTAGCTAGTACAGCACTATTCTTTATGAACAGTACTCTTGATGTGTAAGAAACAAACCAGTGTGAAAGTTGTGCTTGGACTCAATAGACAATGGCTTACTTCTTGAAGCACACAAGTGGAAATTAAGACTTTCTCTCTCTCTTTCTTTCTTTGGACAAGGTGTCACTATGTAGCCCAGGCAGGCTGGCCTTGAACTCAAGATCCTTCTGCCTTGGCTTCCCAAGTGCTGGGATTACTGGTGTGCAAGTATTTTGTAAAAGATTGTCAATTTTGTGTCTTATAAAGCTATTAAATTAAAAACCGGGATGGCTATAAAAATAAAAATTCACAGATTTTTATGATCTTCATGTATATTATTTTATATGTTGAATATAATAGAAAGAAAACTGATCTCAGGTTTTCAGAGATAAGAGCACCAGTAAGTCTTGCCACAGAAAAAGCCTATGCCTTTAGCATAACCATTCTTAATATTTTTTATTATAAAAACCATCAGACTTTCAAGTGAATTGAAACTCTACCAATATTACTGAATGAAAAAGTCTCATACTATCATGTACAGGATATATCAACATTTATTTATCATCTGTCTTGTTGAATGAAAAACATCATGATTGTAAGCTTGGAAATCCTCACCCCCATTCTCCAGTGAGTGTCTGTCATAATCTAAACACCTACCATGTCAGACTCCACTGAGGGCCAGCTTCCTATGTGGAGGTCAGCACATCTTCTCTTTCCAGTGGTACTTATCATTAGCATGCCCTTTTTAGGCAGGAAAAGGGATAATGACATACCTTGGAAAATCCTCATCCCCATTCTCCAGTGAGTGTCTGAAATAATCTAAAGGGTTTCTTCTCCACTCAAGTAAGGAAATCTCTTGTATAGCTACAATAGTTATATAACAAAGCAGTACCTAGTTACATGCTTTACATAGTCCCATGAAAAAATAATTCAATTGTTCCTAATCCCTGATGCAAGGCACTTCAAAGCACCTGCACAAAACGTCTATGTAAACAGCAGTACAGTGCACCATTTAAATAACATGAAAATGACGTGGTGGTTGATCAGCAGGGAAAAATGAAAAATAAAATCATCAACGCACAGCTAAAGGCCCAGGTTGAAAGAGTCAGCAAAAGAATTAGTTGTCTCGTCAATTATAAATAGAGCAGTCCGCGAGCGACCTCGGCGTGGTGGGAAGCGATTTATTATATCTTGCTTGTACTATTTATTCTTATTGCTATTATTGTTGAAACAGCATGCCTGTGGTGAGTGTATAGAATCCAAAGTATTGCCCAGGAGTGACATGTGATGCGCACAGCATTTTGGAATACCCCGGCTTTGGAAGCAGCCCGTAGAGGACTAGTGTCTTGCACTGTTGGGTGAGGCACATGGAAGGATGCTTTTAGAAAATCACAAGAGTAGCAGGGTATGGTCCAGCGAGTTTCGTGAGGTGCGACGAGCTGGTCACACGAACGCAGCAGAGGCGATGGGACGAAAGTTTGTGAGAGATTACTGGGCTTTGTTTGGTTTTACCTAGTGAAGAAAATTGGCGTGTATATTTCAGTACATTCAGGTGTACAGCAAATGCACCAATTGTAAATACAATTGATCAAACTCGCTCCAGTGCTGTGGGCTGGCGAGCGCGTGAAAGGTGTCATTTCTTTACAGCTTGTCAGGTGTACAATGCGGTGAAGACAAGGAGAAAGGTTGGAAAGGAGATACACTGGACAGAGAAGTTTCAGGTTTTTGCGTGTGCCCTAGTGCAGACGTAATTCCTGGTCAAGGGGTAGAATACACGAGTGAGCAAAATGTGAAATGAGCCATGGGCTGCAGTTCTTTGACGCAGCGTCAAGCGAACGCAGATGCGGGCCTCCGGAGAGGATTTATAAGACAGGGCAGGGGTGCAGAGGCCAGAGAGGAGGGCTGAGGAGTGTCCCTGTCAGGTAAGGCTCGGTGTAGCTCGTAACTTAGGAGGCCATCACACTGCAAATTCCTGAGATACTAGGGCAATGTCGACACCAGGCTACGACTGCGGAGAAAGGAAAAGTGCTGTTGTGTGGCAACCCAGGAGCGCGGTGGAGTTTACGTCGTCAGTGTATGTGGACACCTACTATGTCGAAGCTGCACTGAGGGCGACTTGTGCCTGATGTGAGGGTCAGGCACGATCTTCTCTTTGCCCCGAGGTGAGTGGTGAGTCGCAGTGTGAGTGGGATGGGGCCGGTGGTGTGGTAGGGGCAGGAAAAGGGAAATAAGTGAGATACGCGGTAGGGTTGGTGATAGCGAATTTCTAATTTTAATGATAATCTGCTTATCTAGTTGTTTTGTGTTATGGATTGCTATTTTCAATTATACAGATCTAAGTTGATTTCTCATATTAATAGATATATATCTGTGTTTCCTATTTTTGTATATTATTATATTATTTTATTTTATATATTTGTATGTGTGTGTTTCTATTATTTTCCTATTATATTTATCTTTATCTTTCTATTATTTATTCTATATTATCCTCTCTTTACTTTTCTCTTCTTATTAATTCTTTATCTTTTTTTTTCATGGTTTTTTTTTTCTATTTATGTTTCTTGTTTTCTATTTTTTATTTTTTTCTTTACTTATTCATCTGTTTTGTGCTTTTGTTATTTTGTTTATTCTTTATTTCCCTTATTTTATTATGTGTTATCTAATTATTATGTTATTTTCTAGTGGTATTAACTGATATGTCTTTATTTCTGTCTATGTAGTTATATCTTGTCTATTTTAATAGATCTTGCTTATGTTCTATCTTGATGCTATAGTTGAAGATTTTAGTCTCTCATTCCTTAACTGCATGCTTCCTTCTCCTGCTCCTGTGTCTCCTACTAATGATTACTGTAAGGATAGGTTAATTTCGGTCTGTCAGTGACTGGCCCAATCCATCTGCCCTTATCTGTGTAACTATCATGCGAAAGGTAGACCTCTTCGCTCTTAACGCCTTATCTATTGTAGCTGTTAGGAGGGGAAATAGAATTGGTAGTGTTGTTTATAAGTTATATACATCAATTATGTGGAGATTAACATGTGTAATGAGGGTAGTATTTTATTAATATTATCATGTTATTGCTTCTGATTGATACTAATTATATTATATTAAGTTTCTTATTTTATTCAGATTCATGGATCTGATTTAAATCCATTCACAATTTTTTTATTTTAATTAGTGATGGAAATATTTCTAATAGGTGGGATTTATAGGTCTATTGACTTTTTTAAGAAAATTACTCTGTTTTAAAAGTTTTGTTTGTAAATACAATATTATATCAAATCTTTTCCTATTAGTTCCTTTTAATTATTAAGTGCACTACATTCCTCTAATCTTCATTGTAATCTTCTTTCATATTATATGTTCACCTCGTCCCTCCTTCCTTGACCATTAGCAATGTTTGTAATAGGCATTATCACTGGTTGCTGCTGCAACGCTACGCACACACACACACACACACACATGGAAGGAAACATACTCAGTCCATTTGAGAAGCTGCAAGGCTCACTACTGCATGGATTTTCTCCATAAGCACCACCGTATGCTGCTTCATAACCCGGGTCATATTTTTCTTCTTTCACTGCCATCTTCTTTGCATCCTCTGTGAAGGAGGGCAGAAACGATTTAAACTGACTTTGTACAATTCTGAAATGAACTTTATTGAGAAGTCATAAGCATCCACAACAAGCCTTCCCTAACGTATGTGCATGGGAAATGAACAGAGGGAGTAGCAACAGCAACCTACCTTGGGCAAGCTGTAGGTCAAATGTATAGTGCACCTCCTGAACATCTGTGTTCCGTTCAATGCCTTTCAACTGATCTCTTAAGTCCTTCAGCTTAATGTAGTAATGAACCTTGTCCTGGGCTCGGGGAAACTGAGCACATCTTGCACTGGATGATGGCATAACATAGCACAGCTGCAATCATAAAATTTCACAGCTTCAGAAATCTTACAACTTGAATCTACTCATGGAGATCAGAAAAATTTATCTTTATTTGGATAAGTAACTTGATACCCACATATAAATATGTAAAATCAATAAAAATATTGTTTAAGATCAAATCTGTATTACAGTCAATTAAAAAAAAAGAGACTTTTGCCCCCCTGTGTTCATCTATCAGAGAACAGTCTTTTCTTTTTAATAGTGAAGATGTGGCTCACAAATTTAAAAGAACAAAAAGGACACAGGCATATATCTAGTCTCTATCCACCCAGTTCCCTACACGAAGGTCAATCAATATTACCAGTTCCAGGGGTATCCATTAATATACAATCAAAGGTATTTAGATATATGGAGATATATACTCTCTCTTCCTATTTAATAAATATACAAATGACAACATGCTCTACTTCCCCTCCTGAACCTTGCTTTCACTCAACAATGTATGTCATATCATCCCCTGCCACATAGCAGAGTAAAAAGAGCCTTGTTTTTTACAGCTATGTAGTACTTTCATAATTTACTTAATCAAAACCTAATTGTGGATTAAATTCAGACCATTTCCAATCTTTTGTTATAATGAAATATAATGAAAAACTGTACATATTTCATTCGGAATATGCATGAGTATAGCTATTTGCTAAATTCCTAGAAGTTAAATGGCTAGAGAGAAAGACATCTGCATTTATCATTTTGGTTGTGGTGACAAACTGTTCTTCAAAGAATGTAATTCTCTCTTCTTCCCCTCTCTTTCCCTCCACCCAACACACACAAACACACATGCACACACACACACATGACTGACACTGATGGATTATGAATATTTACTACCATTTTTAACTTGGCTTTATAACGTGTAACACTGTGTTTTAGTTATGTAACATTTGGAAAATCTGATTCATAAGGATATGTAGGTAAAAATGTTACCATGTTTTGTAATAGCACATTTTCCAATCTCAAAATATTCCTCAATTAAAACAATCCAGAAATGTGAAAAAGATTTTTGTTTCAAAGCTGAACCACTAACATCAATTATTTACTATCTCATTAGGAATACATTTGAAAAGACAAATGCAGTCATTTGTGCACTCATTATAAGAGCTAAAACCACTAATCAAGATATTATTCAAACTGGGTGCTGGTGGCTCATGCCTGTTATCCCAAATGACATGGGAGGCTGAAGTGGGGAGGATTATAGTTCCAGACAGCACAGGCAAAAAAAAAAAAAGCACAACACAAGACCCCACCTTAATGGGAAAAAAGCTGGCCTGGTGTGGTGCATGCCTCTCATACTAGTGACAGCAGGAAGTTTAAAATAGGAGAGTTGAGGCCTAGGCTGATGCAAAAATGATATCCTATCTCCAAAATGACCTGAGCAAAAAGGACTGGGGAGTGAGAGAGAAGTTCAAGAGGTAAAATGCCAGCCTAGCAAGTGCAAGGCTCTGAATTCAAACCCCGTTACATCCAAGGGAAAAAAAAAAATTGATTCAGGATCACTTACTTATTGCACGTCTATGATCACATATCTAGGAGGTGTGCTTGAGTCCTGCCAGGCATTTCAGTACAACTAGATTTTCTATGCAGTAGCGTACAGAGTAGCTGCTTGTACACTTTTATAAGCAAACAGAGATGGGCCTCCACATACAGAAAGACCAATGCTACAACCTAACTCACCAATTACATATTTTTAAGATAAAGAAAAATTAAGAAGTTCACATTTATTTATGTAGGTGGTGGAAACTTTATTCAGAGGTCTCCGTAACAACCTGGCAACTCATGGCTTCTCTATCATTTAAAATGCTGTATACACAACACGTGGGTCAGTGCATTATGTTGTTTAAAAGCTGCATGCAAAACTTAAAACTACATTTAAGAAGGTTACAGTGAAGCCAGGCACCAGTGGCTCATCCCTTTCATCCTAGTTACTTGGGAGACTGAGATCAGGAAGATGGCAATTCAAGGCCAGCCTCGGCAAAAAGCTCACAAGACCCCATCTCAAGCAATGGTATTGCACAGCGGTGCATGCCATCATTCCCAGCTACATGGGGAAGCATAACTAGGAGGATTGAGGTCCAGATCTGCTTGGGCATAAAGGAAGACCCTATCTCAAAAATAACCAAAACAAAAAGTGCTGTGGTGTGGTTCAAGTAGTAGAGTGCCTGTCTAGCAAGCACAAAACTCTATCAGTATCTCAATTAATTTGTAAATTAATTAGTGTAAGTTGGTATGTAGATAATATTCAACACAATATAGAATGGCTTTTTTTTCATAGTATAAATTACCATGGATAGAATAAAGAAAAAGGGAAATTAGCTAGAAAAAATTCATAGCTGATTTACAAATGCAATTTTAGGGACTTACAGTTTCTGTGTCTGGGATTTTATGGGGTTGAAGCCCGAATTCCAAGTTTTTAACTTTTACTCCAAAAACTTCTTTACTAAAAATTTCATAAATGCCTAAAATGAAATACAAACATATTTACATTGCCCTTAATGTTTGCACAGAAGAAACATAAAATTTTAAAGTAAATCTTACATTTTCCATTAAACACTGCTATTCGTGGCTGATATTTCTGTAATTTCTGTACTAGAATACGTCCTCCTTCACGAAATTCTTTACTAAAATTGAATTAAAAAGTAACAAAAGTAAACATAAATACAGCAACATTTATAATATGCTAAGTTCAGGCAGCTTTCAATTAAAGGTCACATATCTGTGGAACTCATACTAGATGCATAAAATGTTCCTAGGTTATACGAGATTGCCAGCATTGCCAAGGTTCCAACCACACAAATAAATGTTCTGTAATTACCTGGAAAGGTCTTTGCTGCCTGGTGTCGTCCTTTCCACCATATTGGTAAATCCAATGCCATACTTCCCTGGTAGGGTGTGATCGTCCATGTAATTCAGCTGAACCTCACTCAGTCCTGACATGAACAGACACTTCCCTGTGAAAACAGCATTCAGTTTAGTCCTGCAGAAGGTCAAAGGCTTTTGCCCAAACAGCTGATGGAGTTGGCATTCCATTCTTGAAAAATAAAAAGAGATTTAGGACATTAAAAAATATATAACAGGTCAAATACTATATTGGGCAATTACTGTGAATTGAACACTATGCTAACCCCTTTATTTGATTTGTATCATCGTAATTTTCTTTCTTTTTTGGCACTACGGTTTGAATTCAGGCACTCTACCACTTGGGTCATTCTGCCAGAGTATTTTTGAGATATGTCTCACAAACCATTTGCTAGAGCTGGCCTCCTGATCTCTGCCTCCTAAGTAGCTAGGATGACAGGTGTGAACCACCAATGGCTGGCATGAATTGTCATAATTTTCTTAGAAACTATTCTCTCCTTTTCACAATAGTGAAGACAAAGTAAATGCCTGCTTATTTGAGAATACACAGCAACTCAGTGTAGGAATCTTTGAAACTGCTTCCTTTTCCAATAATTGGTGATATCACCATCTGCTCCTGGAATATTTCACAGATAGACTTCCAACTACAAGCTGAAAATACTCAAACACCTTGACAGTGGAGAAAATGGAACGTTCAAACTTCCTTAGAAATTAGAAAAAAAAAATTAAGACAATATAGTAATTCCAAACCATGTTACTATCCTTTGCCCTGAATGTCCTTAATATTATACTTTGATAGTCAATTATTCCTAAAGGTCTATATCGCATGCATTGCTCTAATAGGCAGTGTTAGAGGAGCTGATTTGTACATAAGACAACTTGTGTAAACAGAGCAATACAACAGTAATGATACTAGTTTTAAAGCTCACTCGAAAAGTATGAGAGACTTTACTGCTATTATCTGCTGGATATGCAGTGTTTGTAGAGAAGGTCTGAAATCAGCATTTTATAAACAACTTGATTTCCAATAATCAATGCATTTTATCTCTCCAAGGAAGTAATATCAACAGAAGTCTAGGAAAGTCAGTATGTTGTGTACACTGCCACAAAGATGTACTGTTACTATATCTGTAGGTAATAATTTTTAAGTCACTTTTAAAAAAGCAGAAAAACTCACTGAAACAATTCAAACAGGAAATATGAGTTGCGGGCCTAGCTCAGTGGTAAAATGTGTGCTTAGCATGCATGAAGTCCTGGGTTTGATTCCCAATCCACAAGAAAGAAAGAAAAAAAATGTACTCTTTTTTATGCCCTTTCACTCTCCATTAACAACAATTAGCTTTTAACTATGCCATATGATTTCAGACTCTTCATGTACATAGAGAAAACATGAAATATGAATGTGCATTTACCAATCTTTCTTTTTAAAAAACAACTGTTCTTTAAAAACCTATTCATAAAGGTATCTAATTTAGAAGTAAACTGATTTAAAAAAAAAAAAAAAAGTAGTCACTCACAAAAATGGTTTCCAGGTCCAGGGTAATGATGCCCTTTGTAAGCAGCCATCAGTCCTGGGTTAATGCCAATCTACAAAACAAAATAACCACACATTTTAGTTGTAAAAAGTACAAAGACTGCACACTTTCTCTTGCAGCTATAATCTAGATTTTTTAAAAAAAGACATGAAAGTAGAAGGTGAACTATTTAGGAAGACAAAGGGTCAGGGATGAGGGAACAATTAATATGTGTTAATTAAAAAAAAAAAAAAAAAAAAAAAAAAAAAGGCTGGGCATGGTGGCTCACACCACCTGTAATCCTAACTACTTAGGAGGATTGAGGTTCTAGGCTAGCCCAGGGAAAAAATTTGGGAGACCCCATGTCAACCAATAAAAGCTGGGTGCGGTGGTGTGCACCTGCCATCCCAGCTTCTTGGGAAGTTAAATAGGAGGATTGTGGTCCATGGTGGCTCAGGCACAAATTCAAGACCCTATTTGAAAAATAACCAAAGCAAAGAGGGATGGGACATGGCTGAAGTGGTAGAGTGCCTGCTTGGAAAGTGCAAGGTGGAGTTCAAACCCTAGCACTGAAAAAAAAGTATAGGAGGGAAGTACAGCTTAATTAGGGCTTCTATGGAGGAATGAGGAATAAAACTGAATTGATTAAAATACAAATTTAATCTAGCATCATAAGCAATACTGATCAATCATTGCTCTTGATTTGAACAAAGTATTCCACATGGAGGAAACAGATTTCCTTTATACTAAAAGTTTTGGTACTGTTTTAAAAAACTAGCTTGACCCCCTCCTAACTCCAGCCCTCCACCCTCCTTCAAATGGGCTGCCTTCAGTCTGGAGAGAGGTCCTGAAACACTCAATCTGGGCCCATGCCCAGCCACAGTCTGTTTTTTAACTGCCATCAAGTAACTTACTCCATGTCACCTACACAGCTGTCTTCCTGTTAAAGTTTCTTACAATTTCTGACAAAAAATATAAGCTCAAAACTAGCACTGTCATTTATAGAGTATGTACAAGTATTACATAACCTAGTGATTCACCTGAATTATTTCATTTAATTGTAATCCTGTGGGGGACATGTTACTGCCTGTTTCATCATGAAGAAACTGGTGTTTAGAAAGATTCAGGCTTGTCTCAGGCTGTATCTTTTAACAGGATTTGACCCAGACGGCACCAATCAGGGGCCCACCCTCTAAACACTCCCATAAAATACAACCTCATGAAAGAGACACATTTACTACAGAAGGATTTTTAGGAATGGCTCTTTTCAGCAAAATATTGTTCATAAGGACAACCATTAAGTACAGCTAATCCACCAATGCTATTTAGTAAGTCAAACGGGGACAAAAATTCTTACAATCACGATGTCCAGATTGAAGGTCAAAATATCAGGGAGCGTCTTGGTCAAAAGTTCAGCTTCAGAAACACCATTGAAACGGTCAACTTTTCTTTTCACTTTAAACGTGTCTGTGATTTTTTCTTGCTTTTCTTTTGAGTTTGTGGACTTGCCAGATTTTTTTGATTCACCAGGTTTTTTGGGTTCCACTGGTTTTTTGGGTTCTGTTGTTCTGGCTTTTCTTTTCCTTCCTTTTGGAGCCTCTGAAACACATTGATTTTCAGAATATAGAAGCAGAAAACCTTCAGAAATTCTGCCACCTTCCCCAGAAAAGTTAGTCTGTGAACACCCTTTATCTATTACCCCAAACTTATGGCCTTACATTTCTCAGTATCAGTCTTCTCTGGAGTATGTTCCCCTTCTTTTATTCTAAAACTGGAACTGGGTTCATGCATGCTCCACACACCACGATTATCATAGATTATTTTTCTACCTGGCTTCTTAGCCTCTCCAAGGATACGTACTATCTATATACTATTTTATAGGAATTCTAAATGTAAAGACAAAATTAAGTAAATGAATGCAAAGGCAAATAGAAGGATGGGGAACATTTTCACTCAATTTCTCAATATTAGCAAAGCACAAATGGCTTGTGAGTTTGCTGTAGAGATTATGAGGCATATTCTGTGGTACAAAGAGATGAAACAGATGTACTAAGGATGGAATCTTGCGGCTGGCAGGATTTTTCAAAAGGTGGGACTAGGATCTGTTCGCAGGACCTCCACACTAAAGACATTTTGTGTGGAATACTTTGTGGTGGGGGCTGTCTATAAATGATGGAATGTATAATAGCACCTATGGTCTCTAGCCACAAGATGTCAGTGGCAGCCTGGCAGTTCTAACAGACAATGTGAAATCTCTCTCAGGAGGACAAAACCATCCTTGGTTGAGAACCACTAACCTCAAGTTACCAAACAGGAAGTCTTGGTTTTCTTTCCATTAATTCTTTAACCGCTTTTCTAATTTGTCAAGCTCCTACCCCATCCTCCTCCTACTTGGCATTTCCTCAACCAAGCCTGGCAAAATCAAGGTGGTTTTTCTTGTCTTCTGCCTCCCACTGCCTCAGCCACTCCCTATGCCAAGGGATCCACTGCCATTAGATTGTATCTGGGGAAGTCCTAGAGCGTCCTGCCCAGGAACACAGTACAAATAGGGCAGGAAGCAGCTCCAGTAAAAATAGAGCCAAGGTGTGTTCCTGGGATCACAAACCAAAACTCTGAGCACATCCCTCATATAAATACTGCTACACTGGAGAAAATCATTACTATTCCCCTTCACTGCCCCCTTAATTTATTTGGCTCCCTTTCTAATTCTTTATCTTGGTGAATGGAACCTCCTTCAACCAACTGTCTAGGCCAGAAATCCGGGAGTTTCCTATGGTTTTGTCATGGGTTAAGTCTGTCCCCAGAGTTCATATGTCGGAAGATTGGTCCCCAGGCTTGGTGTTGGGAGGTGGTGTGGAACCTGTAAGAAGAGGAGCCTAGGGAGAGGTCCTTAGGTCAACTAGGGGATGCCCTTAGAAGGGACTGTGGGACCAAAAGCTCTCTTTGACTTCCTGTCTGCTGATGTGATCTGCCTCCCACATGCACTCTTGTCACAATGATGTCATGTTTTGAGGTCTTCATCAGAGCTGAGCTGATTCTGGTGCCTTCACCTTGAACCTTGAGCCCTGGGGGCTAAATAACTTATTTTCTTCATAAAGAATCAAGCATGTCATTAAAATGGAATATGAGTTTCTTCTAGATCCTCATTCTCCTTCATCCTTTACATGAAATCCATGAACCACAGCCTGGTAATTCTACCTCCCAAGTATTCCCTTCTCCTCCCCTTCAAGCCTTCCTTATTCCTCTTCCCCAGATAATGAAGTTCCTAATCTGTCCCTTCACTCCAAGCCCTGCCTTGCTCTCTACCACCCTATCTACCCTCTGTTTTAATGCCCAACTGATTTTTTAAATGCCAATCTGTAAGTCATTCCTTTGCATACATTCTCGATAGTTCCCTATTGTCTTGGGGATAGACAAGTACATTCCTAAGGATTAAAAACAAGCCTCAATTGCTCCCATCCAGCCCCATCTCTCACCATTTTCTTCTATACCCTGGACTCCAACCACTCAGAATCATGCAGTATCTTGACTGTGTCATGCTTCTTCAAGGCACATGCTGCTCCTTCAGCTGGTACCTTCCCCACTCTATTATTCATCCGTTGAAGTTTCCGAGCTCTGTTGTTATCTCCCTGCTCAGAGCCCTCAGTCCAAGTTAGATGCCAACTCCATAAGGTCATAGACCATCCAGTCGGTGCCCCTTTGCACCACTTAGTGTGTTTACTCTCTACTTCCCTCTACTAGGTGATGAGATATTTGAGGGCCAAATCCATGTTCGTTTATTCTCCAGAACTGATGGATCACAGTGCTCAGTACATACTAACTACTTATAAAGTGGGTTACATTTTTCTAACACTAAAAGTCATTGTTAACCCTTTTAAAATAAGTTGGCTAATCCAATATCTAGTTTTCTCAACCACCATGGTGAAAACTACCTGATTCAGGTTCCTGGGCAGGGGCTGGTGCAGGAACTTCTGCTGGCATTTGTTGTTCAGTTGTAACTGCCATGTTAGGACCCTCAGCCATCATTTGTTGAAATGGAAATGAATAAAAAGCTTGAGCTTGCTCAAGGGAATAACTGAAACAAAAATTAAGTAGAAGTTAAAATGATGTTAAAATTAGCCAAATGTAAGTTTAAATTATCAGCGGTACTAAAAAACCTTCAGGCTGGGTGCCAATGGCTCATGCCTTTAATCCTAGCTACTCAGGAGGCAGAGATCAGGAGGATCGAGGTTCAAAGCCAGCCCCCCTTGCAAATAGTTTGTGAGACCCCATCTTGAAAATACCCAACACACCAAAAAAAAAAAAAAGGGCTGGTGGAGTGGCTCAAGCAATACAATGCCTATATGGCAAGCATGAGGACCTCAGTTCAAACCCCAGTACCAACAAAAAAAGCCTTCAGGAATCAAATATTTTGTGGGCAAATTGTATGTAATAGTACAGCAGAGAAAGGAAGATCCATTCCCCTCTGCACACATTCACCTGACCTTTACTAAGTGTTTACTAATCAAACATTAACTGTTGTTTTGGTTTGAGATAGGGTCTCACTATACAGGGTGGCCTCGAGCTCACAATCTCTTGCCTCAGCCTCCCCAATGTTGGGATTATAGGGATATGCCACATGCCCAGCTTCTTTCACTATTTAGTGACAAGATGTTTTGTCAATAAAACTTATCAGTACTGTCAAGTCAGCCTGTACTTTCACTAGAATGACATCTTGGGAATTTTCTAGTAGACAGATTTGAAAGGCCCATCAATCCATATGGTACTGGGGATCAAACTGAGGGTCTTGAGCATGCTAGGCAAGCACTCTACTATTAAGCTATACTCTAAATCCCATGTAATCACAACAAATGAGTGAACAAAATAATGCAAGAGGTCTGTTAGTCTACCACATGGTTAGGAAGACAACCAACCTACCACTCTCCCCGTGTTTCTTTTCTTTCTTTTTTTCTGTGAGACTGAAATTTGAACTCAGGGCCTCTTGCTTGCAAAGCAGGTGTTCTACCACTTAACCCACACCTTTAGTCCTCTCCCATTTTTCTTACTACCACTCTCAGTTTCACAGATAGCTTTCATTTTGAGCACTTGACTAAAATCCAAACTTAAAATGTATAAATTAAGAAGATACCATTTGCATTACAAAAAAGATTCTTCCACTTAAAAATGTTCAAAATGTGGCTCCCTTAGTATAGCTTGAGGACATTAAGCATGTTCAGAAACTGCGGGACCCAGAAACTGAAAGCTGAATTCTAGAAGTCACTACTGGTGAATAAACAGTGAAAAATAAGGGGGGAAATCATCTGAACGTTTCTATTAGAGAAATAGTTCATTTTCCAAAGATACCCAGAAACACCTCTAACAACAATAAATCCCTTAACATTGCTAAAAATGATTACTTTTTTAGAAAAAGTTAAATGACACTTTACAATAAGTTAAATTAGAACAGAAATAGAAAAATAAAGCCATGGTAAATAGGATGTATTAGCTGAGCATTCAATTTAGTAGGATGTCAACAGCTTCTAACAGCAAAATCAAATGGAGGGAGGGTGGATCACAACATTCTTATTACTTGGCAGAAGAAAAGCATGGTGTGTATACAAAAACCTTCATGAAATTGAAAACAAGCAAACTAAAGAGTTGTGGATAATTTAATTCTCTATTATCTAATAACAGAAATTTATTAGAATTCTACAATGTTTCTGAGCAAAACTCTCCAGGGGAACGACAGCAAGGAAGAGTACCAAGTCATTCATCTTCCTCAGCTTCCCTTCCCGCACCATGAAAATGAGGGGTTAGATTTGGTGATCTCTGTATGTAGGAAATAGGACTAAATCGGGCTATACCAGGACAGACCCCATGATCTTGTATAATTCTGACATTGAGCTTCCAAATGATGTTTTCTCTCCCCTTGTTCACTTTTCGTCCCTCCTCCTTTGTTTGTCCCTGCAAGTGTTCTGCACTCTGTCCTTTTTCTGCTGTTTACCTCCTCTCCTAGCCTATCTCTACCCCTTTTCTTAACTATAGCGCTTGAAGGACTGGTTTCTATGGCTGTCTAGAACTGATCAATTGCGTTATCTTCTGACAGTCTTTCTCAACACACATGCATTCACGTACACACATCCCACACAGAACAAATTAAGAAGTCCAGGTCATTCGGATTTGTTGTATTTCAAAAAACCTAATCTTCTACGGTTTTCTCTAAAACTGACTCCAATATCTTAATCTTTTATGTTTTGCTATTTTAAGGGTTTAAAATAATGCTATTTTCTAAATATGCTGTCATGCTTAAGTATATATCCTACCAAACAGGAAGTAATGACCAGTGCTATACAATCCAAATGCTCAATTCTCAGGGGTTGGCTGATTATGTAGACTAGGACCTGAATCCACTGTAACAATTACAAGTCTGCACTGACATTGCTACATGGCAGTGTGAGTTCATCCTGAGTGCAGGCTATAGGTCAGCACACTGATTTAGAACCAGTCAGAATTCTGTTTATTTAATCATTCCTCACGTAGTATAATTTCAAGTTTCTTCACAATCTGATCATTTTTTGGTGTTTAAAATCAAGCCAAATATTCCAGATATAGCCTCATCAGCCTGACACTCAACAGAGCTGTCAACTTCCACATTCTGGCGACAAACTACAGAACCCAGTACATTAGCTCTCCTGGGACTCATAGTAAATTCCTGATTCACAGAGCTTACCAACCATGAAAACTTCTCATTTCATGCTTGTGTCACTGATTTCTCTGCACCTGAGTGGAAGACACTGCCTCTTTTTGTTCACCATTCTACACAGACACCGATTCAAACTACAAATTCTACAAATCCCACCCAGAGTGGGGACTGGACAGTCAAAAATGTTATCAGCATGGCATGAATAGCCAGAAGTTGTTAAACTGTTGAAGAACAAAGCTGGGGATGGAGTTACCTGGCAGGTCAGTAGAGGCCTCTCTTCAGCCTGCTCTTGATTCTTTCACTGGTAAACTAGGCTTTCATTTCACTTAAGTAAACTGCCATCTTTACCTTGTCCACAGAGAGAAGTGGGGTGGCACAGGTGCTAGCTGGGGAGGCAGACTGTGAAGCCAGACCGCCTAGATTCAAATTGTGGCTCTGTCATTTACTAGCTGTGTGGACAATTTCCTTAACTCTATTCCCCGGGTCCACAACTGTAAAATGGGAATAATAACACCTAATTCATTGATTATGAGGGCTCAACTAGCTAGGATATGCAGGCATATAATAAATTTGCTATAGTAATAAAAAAGCCTATTTAGGAACCTCCTGTCAGCATCCCTCCACTTGCCCATCTATAGGTCTTGTTTTGTTCTGAACTTACACAGTAGCCTAGGGGTCACTAGTTTCTTTCAGAAGCATTAAGTGACCACTGATAAGCAAGCACTTTGCTTAGGAATCAACATCAGTGCAGGACACACTCCACTTCTGGATTCTTCTAGAATCCTGTTGTCTAAAAGTCCTCAACCTTGCTCTATTCTGGCTTTTCTCCTAAAATACAATTCAATCAGGCTAGAATGTAGGACTTCTGCAGGAGCAGGTAAGAGTTCTCTTACTGGCCCTCACTGATCATGAGCTTTAAAGCTCTTACAGACGCTCGCCTGCCGTTTCCAGTGTGACAACCATGTTCCCTAACATCAGAACTCAGTATCGCGTCTCCATCATCTACCATCACCACGCCAGCGGGCTGAGCCGACAACTCAAATCACTTTTGTCCTCTGGCTGTCCACATCTGATTACAATAGTCCTTCTTAGTCTCATTCTCATTTCCAAAAAGCCTGATCTCATTTGCAGGTTACTCTTTTCCACCTGTGTTCTTAGTGGTCCACACCACTCTTTTCCAGTCATTTTTGATTTGCCATCCAATTTTCCATCTTTGGTAAATGTCCTTTTCATGCTTGATGTCACTTTTTGCCTCTTTGGTTGATTAGACTGTAAGTGCTTTTTAACACTCTTGAGCTATTTATTTCCCTTTGCAAAGAGTTTATAGCCATGGATTTTTTTTTCTTTAAATGTTTTGTTTTTATCTGTTTTTTTTTTTCAAAGTCAAATTGTCTTTTATTTTTATTGTTGTGCTGGGTTGGGGTACACTGTAGCATTTACAAAGGTTCTTACAATGTATCAAATATACCATACTTGAATTCCCCCCTCCACTTCTCTCATTCATCCTCCCCCTCCTGATTCCCGAAACAATTTCAACAAGTATTATTTTTGCATTTACATACATGGGTATACATTATTTGAACTGTATTCATCTTCCTACCCCTTTCTTTACAGGGGTTTTTCTTCTTTTTCTTGTATTCATATTTGCATACAATGTTTGGGTCATTTCTTCCCCCTCTTTAAATGTTTTAAAGATAATCTTCAAAAGCAGAAAGCAAAATTATTATACCCAGCATGCCAATGCTTGATTAGCCCAAAGTCACTCTCTCAGAGGTCTCAGTCAAATTAGAATCCCAAAAGATAAACTCTTTTAGAATATTACATAGAATTTTCCCTATTTTCTGAAGGTGAAAACTTTACAAGTCAAAGTAAATAATGGTCTACAGCCCTATGGATGAAGTTAAGACAAAACAGAGCTTTGAGCTAAACTGTTCACTGGAATTCTATTATTTTGCTGTAAACTCAGAATAAGGTTGTACACCATGTGATTCACTTGATGGTAGGCTTTGCCCAGGTTTCAATTCTGCTCTCAAGTAAGATCACAAACCTGAGAGCTATTTCCACAAGAGCTGTACTCTTAAAGTACTTCTAGGAAAGAGCAGAATACTGCATTCCAGAATGAGCAAAGTCCACAATTTGGGCTGGGAGTGAGGCTCAGTTGCACAGTGTCTGCCTTAGCATTTGTGAGGCTCTGGGTTCCATTCCCAAAACTTCAAATAAAACAAGACAAAACAAAAACCTCACAATTTATCTATGTTTTTTTTCTGTAACTTTTAACACAATTTATTTTTGTTACTGAAGTATGTTCCTTCCACACAACATCAATTGGCAGCATGTCACAACAGGATTCCAGAGATGTCCTTATCTGATAAGACATTAATAGGCCTACAGTAGTGTCAAGTTGAGCGTCCCTTAGCTGCTGAGAGTCAGAATAACTCATTAGGTTTAACATAATTTTATTTCAATGGAAATCATTATTTTTTCCCTTGTGAAGACCCTGTCACCTCATTTTTCTTCCTATCAAAAGAGTTCAACTCCCTAAATCTCTACTATTGCAAAACCTCTTGATAATCCTAACATTTCCAGAGGTCATTTTAAAAACCGAGTTTTGTGTGTGTGTGTGTGTGTGTGTGTGTGTGTGTGTCGGTACTGGGGTTCGAACTCAAAAGTCTCGTGCTTGCTAGGCAAACGCACTACCACTTGAGTCACCCGCCAGCCCTACAGATTTTTAAGATCGTCTCAAGATCACTAGAAAATTCAAAAAGTCATTTTTTTGGGGGCAGGGGATGTACTCGGGTTTGAACTCAGGGCCTACATCTGGAGACACTCTACCAACCCTTTTTTGTGATGGGTTTTTTCAAGATAGGGTCTCACGAACTATTTGCCCAGGCTGGATTCGAATTTCGTTCCTCCTGATCTCTGCCTCCTGAATAACTAGGATTACAGGTGTGAGCCACCGGCGCCCGGCTTCAAATTCAATTTTTTGATTGACTTCTTGAACACATCAAGGTGTTCTTTAATACTGCTTTTGGTAAGACTTTGAGGAGGAAGCCACCGTACGCCGACTAACGAATAGGGAAGCTTTGGTCGCTCCATCCTAACAGTTCTTTGCGGGGTCACAGAGGGCGAAGGGAAAGGTAGCCAGGTACCACATCAGCAGAGGAGGATTTTCGGGACTCTGCGGGTTGGGGCTGGAACAGGGCGGGAGGTGCGGCTCGGGAGCCGCCGTGCGCACGCGCGGCTCGGCCTTTGTACTCGGCCGCGGCAGTGACCGGGCCCCGAGCGCGCCGGGTCAGCCGGCACCGGCACCGCCATCGCCATCGCCACCGCGAGAGGCGCGGGGAGGAGAGGGGCAGGGGCAGCGCTTCGTCCGCGTTACCTGCCCGCGTTCTGCGTGTCCATGTCCGGCGGCCGCTCGCGCGGGCGGTTCTTCCGGCCAGGCCGACGGGCTGCTGGTCGCTGTGGCACGGCGGCGGGCGCGCAGGGACTCAACGCTAGAGTCTTGGATCCGGTGGCCAGCAGGACCGGGACAGCAGCTGGCCTCAGCTCCTCCCCACGTTTCTACATCATCCCCCAGGCCCCGCAAGAACCCCTTCCGCGCGGCACCGCCATCCCGTCCGAGCCGGGGCCTCGAGGAGTCGCCGTCACGTGACGCGGGCCGGTCCAATCGCGTCTCCCATCCCTGGGCGCCCCAGCTTCGCCGCGTGGCCTTTCGGGAACGGCGGAAGACCGAGGGGCGGGGGAGGGGGACAGAAGACCGGGGGGGGGGGGGGGGGGGGGGGGGGGGGAAAGGGCCTCGCTCCGCTGATGTCAGCTTTTGTCGGCGCGGGCGTCTGGGACTGGGTTGGGGTGGGAGGGTGGACCAGGGTGACGTCCCCCAAGGGCTGGGTAGATGAGCGGTGTTAATCCGGTTCTTTCCACCCTGGTGAAAAACTTGCCTTGATGGTCAGCCACTGTGATGAGGAACAGGGAGACTTCAGAATCGCAGAACCTGGGAGTAGTGGCCACTCTTATTTAATGGACCTCAGTTTCCTAATCTGTAAAAGGAGGTGATTGTAAACTGTTAGAAGTGCGGTTCCCAAAGAGTGGTCAAAGAAATACTCGGGAGTCGCTCAGCAAGGCAAAAAGAAAAGTTTTATTTTTGCAGAAGGGGGCAGCCACAGACCCTAGTATAATAGGCAGAACACACATAGCTCAGTTTTTAATCTCTCTGCCCCTCACTCTGATGGACGAGTTTGTGTTCACGATCTTCCCCGTTGGCTAGCTATTGTTTGGGGTAAGGGCAAGGTTTTCCAACGCAGTGACATTTTTACAACTCCGTGAGAAAGAGATTTCTCAAGGTCCTCTGAAGATAAGGGCCCTGGGGCTGACATTTTACTCATCAAGAAGTTTCAGATTGGGGCATATGGTGGTAAATAACTGACCACAAGAACCTTGCTAGCTCAAGCAAAGCATGTGGGCAGCAATTCCGGAGTTTACCTGGTATCTACATAATGATAGTTAGACATTAACTCCTTTGACAGAAAAGACCTAACTGCAGTTGATTCTCACAGAACTGCTCTGTAAACTGTAAAACTGCATGAACCAGTGTCCCGTCTACTCTGGACATGTGAAAACAGAGAAGTTTGCGGTCCATAACACAGATGCCATTCTAGCATCCCTCCTTCCACTCTGAGACAAATCCCTCTTTGACGTGGCAAGTTCTGACAGTGCGGTTTTTGTTTCATTAGTGCTCAACTTTTGTCCCCGTTTGTGCAAAAAACTGCATTAGCAAACTCTTATAGAGACAGGCTTTTCTGTTTCCCTAGTTTGCTTGATGAAGCAAACAACTCCAAACCCTCCTCAATGGCACACGGCAGCACAGGTTCATTTCTCACTCCTGTGTGTGAGCTGGGAGATGGGTGTGGCTTCATGCTCCCTGTGCCCTCTTCATTTTGTATTTCGAGTTCTTGGCCACAATCCCAACTCCAAGGGTTCCCCATGTCAGATCTGGCCACTCTTGCCTCAATATGCCAAATAGAGAGTAGTGGTGAAGAAGAGAGAAAGGAGATTTATTATCTTCACTGCACCCCTGTAGAAAGAGGCAAAGTGAGCACTTCAGCCCACCTTCCAGGTACAGACCTGTGCTTGAGGTTTAAATATGGGAAGAATTGGGGTAGGGGAGGGAGGTTTGCACACAAGCAGTCCCAGGCAAAGTGTGGCCTGGCTGCTTGTTATCTCAGTACTGGTTCTGCAAAGGCTCTGGAGAAGTTGTTACCACTTGAGGAGAGCGGTCTGCTTCCCATGGGAGATTACTCCTTCAGGATGTAGCTTCATCGTTATAGGTAATTGCCCTTGTTTTTCTTTTGTGTGAGGGGATGGTCAGTCCTCTGAGGCTCTGTTGTTCCTTTTCCTGGGGGGGAGTAGTTTCAGTCTCTAATCATAAAGATGTTTCTTTCAGGAACTCAAGGCGATTGATTGCAGGAGAGAGACTCAGAGTAAAGGAGACAGATGCAAAATGGAGCTGGGGTGAAGTTATCCTGCTTTTAGTCATGCCAGGACACAATTAAGGAGTCAGTGCTTTTTAGCAAAGCAGTTTCTAAGTACTTGTTGTAAAACTTAATATTACATATATTAAATATATGTAATATTAAATATATTAAAGACTTATGAATACCCTGTCCATTAGTAGGTGCTACTTAGAACCTGTAACATGAAAAGTGAGTATCGTTGAATGAATGAACAAGAGTTCACATCCCCCACCCCCTCGGGTTTTGGTAAGATAGGACCACAGTCTGCAGAGGTGCAGGTAGCTTGCCTTAGTTGTTTCAGAAAGAGAATTCTGGTAAGTGGATGTGTGTGTGCAAAGCAGTAAGATTCTCAAGATATTTTCATGCAGGGAGATTTGCCCTGGGACAGCAAGGATCTCCCCCCCCTCCTGGGGGCCGGGGATGCTGTGTTTTTTCTTGGTCCCATTAGCTCTCTTCATGAGACCAGTGACCTCTGTTCAGGCCTGCTTTATAAAAGGAAGCGTATGGAATGGGTTATTGACATTTGTCCTGAAAAGGGTGAAACATGGCAGCCCACTAGCTTCCATTGGCATCTCTTTCTCCAGCCTGAGTGTGGAAGACCAGCTTGCTGTGCTTGTGAGCCTGGCCTACCAGAGCTTGGGAAAGCCTGAGAAAAGTGTCCCTCTCAAACTTTACCAAAAGTACCTCTTCTGCAGAGAGACCTTTTGTAATAGGACAATTGAAATAACAACAAAAAAGGGCCAAGTCTCCTTGCCTCTTCTCCTGATGCTCTTCTCCCTTTCAGGAAATGAGTGAAGCTGTTTCTTAGCTGAAGTTATGCAGCTACATCTTATTATCAACAAGATTTCCTATGGGGCAGAGTTTTTCAAACTGCAGGTTTTTGTCCACAGGTGGGTGCCAGAGTCCCTTTTGTCATCATCTTCATCATTGGCAGTACTGAGGTTTGAACTCATGGCCTTGTGCTTGCTAGGCAAGAATTCTACCATTTGAGCCATAGCTCCAACCCTGGTCCCAATGTCCCTACTGAATATGGACGCCTTGGAGACCAGTAGCTCATGGTGATGAGGAGAATGAGTGTTAAAGATGGCAGTTATATTCAGAATAACAGTGGAGATGATGATGGTGGTAATGACAGAGACTAAGTCACTGTGTAATGTGTGCCATGGACTGCTTCTGCTTTCCATGTATCAATTCACTTAAATCTCAGGATAACTCTAGGAGCTAAGTGAGGTTATGTTTTCTTTCTTGAGCCACTCCACCAGCCCCTTTATGTGGTGGGTTTTTTTTTTTTCCTTTCCCTCTTTTCCCAAGTTCCATAGAGTAGTTCCACTGTTAGAAACATGTTCTACATCTGAGTTTGTGTACAATCATGCTTGCTTTTGTGTATATGTTTACTTTGGATCTGTCCTTCATGTACGAGTGAAAACATGGATTTTTTTGTGTTTCTGATCCTGGCTAACTTCACTTAGCATGATGTCCTCCAATTGGATCCATTTACCTTCAAACCCCATGTCATTATTTCTTATTGCTGTGTAGCACTCCATTGTGTATATGTACCACAATTTCATGATCCATTCATCTGGAGTAGGGCACCTGGGTTGTTTCCAGACCTTGGCTATTGTGAATAGTGTTGTGATGAACATCAGTGTACAGGTGTATCTACTGTATTCTGTCTTAAGTTCTTTTGGGTAGATGCCCAGGAATGGTATCACTCGATCATATGGCAGTTCTATCTCTAGTTTTTTGCGGGATCTCCATACTGCTTTCCAAAATGGTTATACTAATTTGCATTCTGTGGTGGGTTTTTTTGAGATAGGGTCTCTCGAACTATTTTCCTAGGCTGGCTTTGAACTTCGATCCCCCTGATCTCTGCCTCCTGAGTAGCTAGGATTATAGGCATGAGCCACTGGCACCCAGTGAGGTTATGTAAGTATGTTTAGGCTGCCATAACAAAAATACTAGAGACTGGGTGAATTCTGAGCAACATGAGTTTATTTTCCACAGTTCTGAAGGTTAGGAAGTCCAAGATCAAGGTACCAGTCAATCCAGTGACTGGTACCAAGCAGCTCTCTGGGCCTTTTTACACGACTCTGCCTTCATGACCTAGTCACCTCCCAGAGGCCTCATCTGATATTACCACATGAATTTCTGAGGGGTTGTGACATAAACATTCTGTCCAGTTTGCTGCTCAGCTTCAAAGACTGTTTACTGGGAATTCCCTCTTTGCTTCTGGGAGGTCAATCTTTTGTGCTACTCATGCCTTCAGCTGACTGGATGAGGCCTGCTCACATTATAGAGGATAATCTGTTTTATTCAAAGTGTATGTGTTTAAATATTAATCTCATCTAAAAAAACACCTTCATGGAAGTGTCCAGAACAATGTTTGACCACACATCCAGGTGTCATGGCCCAGCCAAGTTGATATAAGAAGCTACCATTACTATGTACGCTTTTTTAAAAAACAAGTAAACTGCTATACAGAGAGCTGAAATAACTTGTGCAAGGTCCCACAGCTACTAAGTAGCAGAATCGAGATTACCATCATGGCATTGTGGCTCCAGAGTCTACCCTTTCAGGGATACTTGTGAGGAAGAATAAAGAAGGAAGAGTCAAAGTCCAAAGGGCTGCTCTATAAATCCTAAACATACATTTACAACACTAAGCGTCATGTTAAAATAAAAGAAAGGTCTCAAATTAGTGACTTTGGTTTCCACCATAAGAAACTAGAGAACAGCTGGGAGCCAGTGGTTTATGCCTGTAATCCTAGTTACTCAGGAGGCAGAGATCAGGAGGATCATGGTTCAAAGCCAGCCCCAGGCAAATAGTTTTCAAGACCCTATCTTGAAAATACCCAACACACAGAAAAAGGGATGGTGGAGTGGTTCAAGTGACATAGCACTTGCCTAGCAAGCATGAGGCTCAGAGTTCAAATCCCAATACCACACACACACATACAAAAAAAAAAAAACAACTACAGAAAAGCTGGGAGTGGTGGCACAGGCTGTAATCCCAGCTACTCTGCAGGTGGAGGTAAGAGAGTCGTGGTCTGAGGTCAGTCCAGGATAATGTGACACCATCTCAACAATTTGAGCAGTGATGATTCACATCTGTAATCCCAGTTATGCGGGAGGAATACATAGGAGGACCAAGGCCCAGACAAAATTAGCACGAGACTCTACCTGAAAACCAAACTAAAAGCAAAAGGACAGGAGGCATGGCTCAAGTGGTAGAATTCAAGGCCCGAGTTCAAACCCCAATGCTGCAAAACACACACACGTGAAAACAAAAAAGCCTCTACAGAACAGAGATCAAATTAAACCCAAAGCTAGGCACCGGTGGCTCACGCCTGTAATCCTAGCTACTCAGGAGGGAGAGATCAAGAGGATTGATGTTCAAAGGCCAGCCCTGGGCAAATAGGTCTTCATACCCTATCTTGAAAAAAGCCCATCACAAAAAAGGACTGGTGGAATGGCTCAAGATATAGGCCCTGAGTTCAAACCCCAATACCAAAAAAAAAGGAAAATCAATGCTATCAAAATTTGAACTTTAGAAGATCAATAAAATTGATAAATCTCTAGCCAGGTTTAACACAAAAAAAGGGGCAAGATGACTGAAAATAGTTTAAAGATGAAAGAAGTGACATAATTACAGACTGCAAATGTGTGTGTGTGTGTGAGTTGCTGGGGATCAAATTAGGGCCTTGTACACGTTAGGCACTTAAGGCAAGTCCTCTATCACGGAGCCACATCACCAGCCCTTGATTTTTAAAGACAGTGTCTTACTATGTGACCCTGCGGCCTTGAACTCATAATTCTTCTGCCTCTGCCTCCCTGGTGCTGGGTTTGCAGGCACGAGCCACCACACCTGACTTAGACTCTGCATATATTAAAAGTAAAATGGAATATTTTGAACAACTTCATTTCTGTACATTCAACAACTTTACTGAAAGGAACAAATCTCTTAAAGACATCAAGTGATAATAATAATAATAAAGATAACTTGAATAGCCCTATATTTATTAGAAAAATTGAATTTGTAGTTTAAAAAATTCCCACAAAGAAAACTCCAGGCCATTTGAGTTCATTGGCAAAGTCTCCCAAGTACTGGATAACAGGCATGTACTGCCACCCCCAGCCTTAATGAACATTTATTTCTAATAAAAACTTTCTTCAAGTTAGGAATGACACTGGATTGTTGATACCGAGTCCATGTCCTGGCGAAGTCGATGATTGAATATGCCAGATCAGAAGTTAAGAGTAAAGCAAGCACAAAGTTTATTGAAAGGATGACAAAGCACCCTGACAGTGGGACTTAGTGGAAGAACTAAACCATGGAATGGCTGAAGTCTGGGGGATAATATAGGGCTTTGTCTGATTTACACTCCCCCTAATCTACCGTGAAACTTCATTTGTGATTGGATGCTAGCTGGCTGACTTCTCGCTAAACCTGGCCATTTGGCCACTCCCTTATCAAACTGGACATTCCAGGAGGGTCTGTTCAACTCCTCCTGGCGTTGAGGCCCACCATTTACATCTTATGACTGCCTCTTGCTATCTTGGTGGGAGTTTGCCATGTTACTTTCCGTGAGGAGCCTGTTTCTTATCCCTTTGGATGTTTGTTTTCAAAGATGCTTCCCTGTTTCCCTTACCTAGGAGAAAGACCTCTGTATTGTATTATCTTACAATATAGAGACGCCTGCTCCCTGGTCTCCTTAGATGTTTACTTTTAAGGATGCCTTCCTGTCTGTCTTATCTAAGACAAAGTCACTTCTGCCATTTGCTCCCCTCACAGGAAGAGAAGGGAACTTGCTAAAAATTGATAAATGACATCTAAAAAATATTTGCTGCATTCATAGTTCACATGATGGTTTTTGTAGAAAATCCTGTGGGACCTACAGATAGAGGCTAATATAATGAGTAAGAAATTAGCAAGATAAAACAAGACAGGAAAATCAGTTATATTCTATATACTAACACAAACAATTAACAATATACCATTCACAGTAAAATAAAATATGAAATACTTTGGGATACATCTGAAAAAAATGTGTAAGACCTATATCCTAAAAACTGAAAAACATTACTGAAAGAAATAAGCATTAAATAAGTGGAGAGATATATTGTGCTCAAAGACTAAATATTGTCAAGATCTGCAGATTCATTAAGATGGCAATAAAAATTCAGGTAAGGATAGGCATGGCAGCACACATACATAATCCCAGCTACTTGGGAAGCTGACTCATCAGCCATTCTTTTCTTAGGTATATACCTAATAGAAATGGAAACATGTTCATAGAAAGACTTGTGTGCCAGTCTTTCTCACATATTTTACTGTTCCTAGCAGCTTTATTTCTACCAACAAATGGAAACAACCAAAATGTCCGCCAACAAGTGATTGTATAAACCAATTATGGCTTAAACATATTTAGCAATAAAAAGGAGTGAACTGCTGGGCTCCGGGGCTTCATGCCTGTAATCCTAGCTACTTGGGAGGCTGAGAACCAGAGGATCTAGTCTCAAGGCCAAACAGGGCATATAGTTTCCGAGACTCCATCTTCAAAATAACCAGAGCAAAATGCACTGGAGGTGTGGATAAATAGGTAGAGAACCTGAAAAATAGTAGAGATCGTTTGATTCCATTTAAAAATGTATCATGATTCATGTTACACATACAGCTTCAATCCTTCAGAATTCATTCTTGCACTTTGTTTAATAAAATCAGGCCAGTCTTTCTGAAAACGCATGGACTAAGTCTTGACTGCAGGTTCCCAGCAGCACGGGAACGCAAGGGCACGGCTGTCGCGTCAAGGACGTCACGAATCCGCACGCTGACCTTCACTCTCTGGAGGGTGACCTCTCCTGAAGGCAAGCAATCGCTCGGCGTACAAGCCTCCACCCCTCCCTGAAGGGGGTAACTGCGTGCAGTTTTTGCGAAGGGACAAACGACCCGAGACTGAGACAAGGAAGCCCAACAACATTGTCGTGCGGACAATGAAGAGATGCCGCGAGCCCGGCTGAGAAAGCTGTCAGTCCCACTTCCGGCCGGGTCACGTGAGCGCGCCGTCCGCCTCTGTGGTGCACTCGCTTTCCCCTCCGGCGAGGCGCCCAGCTCCTGCATTTTCGGTCCGGCCCGCTCGCGGTCCGCCCCGGCTCCGGAGCGCACTTCCGCTCGCCCTGGGACAGGCTGTCCTGCGACTGCATTTGGCTTCCACAGGGCGGGGGAGTGCGCTCTGCAGCTCCTGTCCTGAGGTGAGGCGCGGGGCAGCCTCCGGGGGTCGGCCTCACGCTGACCCCGTTGCCTCGTGCAGGTCGAGCGCCCCACACCGATGAAAGCTTGAAGGCTGCTGGGCATGGGCCGGGGCTGCGCATTAGTCCGCTTGGCGACCTCGCGGGTCATGACCCGGCGTCACGGAGGCACGGGGTATGGGAGCGCCCCCGGCGTGTGGCCCCGCATAACCTAAAGCTGCTCTTTCCCTCCCGCCAGCTCTCCGACCATGCCCGCGGGCGCGTCCTGGCCCAGCTACCTGAAAATGTTGGCGGCCAGCCTCCTGGCCATGTGCGCGGGGGCCCAAGTGGTGCACAGGTACTACCGGCCCGACCTGGTGAGTGAGGGGCGCGGGCCGCCCCCTTGAGCCTCTCGCCCGTAGGTGCCCTCCACCTGCCTCGGGGTCGCCTCCCACCTTCCACACCTGGGCCCCTTTGCAGTTTCCCAAATTCATCTGTCATTCTGTTCTTCCTGATCTTGTCTCGGTTTCCCTCTCCAAAACCTCAGATCTTTGTTGGAATATCCCCTTCCAGAAAGGAGGGTTCTTTGGCCAGCTAGCTCCCAAATGAGTCTGTCCTTCTCAGCTGGTCACTCAGTCCTTTGTTTCCATAGAGCACCCGTCGTAATTTGCAGTTATTGATTCTTCTATTCTGTGTGCTCCGCTAAGAACGTAAACTCCACGAAGAGACCGTGTCAGTCTGGTTCACTTTCGTATCTCGATCACTTAGAAAAGAGCTTGGGATGTAGTAGATGTCCAGTAAGTATTTGAAGAATGAGTGAATAGAGGCATTCAAAGGAGGGAGAAATTTCACGTAGTAAGCGTTCATTCAATTAAGAATTAAAGGTGCTTTGCAGGTATTAAGGTCTTGGGGGAGGTGGGGTGAGAAAATACGATGGAAGGAATTACAAGAGTGTGCCCAGTATTACACCACAGACACCGATAAGGTGGTTTGAGCACAGCGAATGCAGCTTGGACTTTGCCTGGATAGGTAACAGAGGTTTGGTTGAAATTAACTTCAGTTAATTGTTACTGCAATTTTAAGTGTTCATCCCTGTTTTCAGGTGAGGAAACTGAGGTTTAGACAGTGAAGGTGATTTCTCAGAGTGGCATGAGGCATTGATTTAAGGAGCTGAAGCCTGAGCTTTCTGTTTGGTGCTTCTCTGTTGTTCCTGTTAATAAAATAAATGCCCTTGTAAGTCATTCAGATTGAATTCAAGTGTGTGGAGTAAAAAATGAAAAACTCTCCACTTGCAACCCCCTTTGTCCTATTTCCCATACCCCCCATTACTACCATTTATTGACTGGTGTACAAACACACACACAGTTTGTGGCATATTTTTCTCTACATAAATAGGGGTTTATATACAGATATCTTTTTCTCTGCAACTTGTGTGTTTCGGTTAACGTTAATGTGTTAGATGACTGCGTATGTTAGTGGGACTTGAACTCAGGACCTATACCTTGAGCCATTCTACCAGCCCTTTTTTTTGAGATAGAGTCTCAAGAACTATTTCCCCCCCATCCCTTTTTTTCTGAGATAAGGTCTCAAGAACTATTTCCTGGGCCTGGCTTCAAATCTCGCTCCTCCTGATCTCTGCCTCCTTCGTGGTTAGGATTACAGATGTGAGCTACTCGCATCCAGCTATTTTTTTTTTTTTTAAGTGGTGATGGAGATCAAACCCAGAGCTTGGTCACATCAGGCTACACTGCAGCTCCAGCCATGTGTACTTTATAATGTGGCTACCCCATACAGTATTTGCTCAATCCATATTGCCAGGTAGGTGGTGTGTAGTCTTATACAAACAGTGCCACAGCAGATTTCTTATCAGTTCATACTGCTTCTTTTTTAGAGTTCTAGTGAAGCATCAAGGACCCTTACTGGGGACAGAAAGTGGCAAGAGCTTTCCACAGAAATGCAGTTTAGTCTCTAGCTTGTGCAGGAACAGCCACCAGTCCTTTTATCTAGGAAGGAATGCCTAGAGTTTGACACTGGAAATTGACTTGAGTCACCCATCTCTTCACAATTGGGAATGTGGAAGGGTTGCAACCAGCAGCTACCTGTACTTTGGGAAGAGGCAGCACAGTCTCCAGAAGGGGCAACCAAGAGGTCATGGGCTACCTCCATTTAATTGGATGTTAACATTGGCAGCAGGGTACCTCTGCTGCAGTTTAAAGGCCTGGGTGGTTTGCTGTGTATTAGTTACTGGTATTTAAGGAATTTGTGTTCTTTACTTAGTCTTTCGGAATGGTTTCCATTCATTGGGGTTACTATTACAACAACCAGTGCTTTGATCTAGTTGTCCAGCCTGGCTTACTGGGATAGCAAAGAAAGCAATGCATGATCTGGGAGTCATGGTGATTCCTCTCTATTGCTACTCCCATCAACACCGATTGGATTAACCCATTGGAGTAAACATGCATCTACATGCTGACCACTTCTCACCACCATCATTACTGCTTCTTGGTTCAAGTCACTGTCAGGAGTCTCTCTCCTCTGTTATTGCAGTAGTTTCCTGACTATCTTCTGCCTTCTACTCTTGCTCTCCTGCAGTCTATTCTCCACAAAACTACCATTATCATCTCTTCATATTTGAGTCAGGTCATGACACACCTCTCAAAACTCTCCAGTGTCTTCCATTTCAGAGTAAAAGCCCCTGGAGACTATGTCCCTCACCCCTCCTTCCCCTGCTCTTGTCTCCCAACCTGTTGAACACTTTGTGTCAGCCATACTAACAGCCTTGCTTTTCTTGGGATCTGAGAGCACACTCGTGCCTCGTGTCCTCACCATGTCCTCTGTATTTGTGATTCCATCATCCTGAAACATTCCTGGATTCCTGCATTAACCACCAGACAAATGCAAATGAAAACCACAATGAGAGACTACATCATGCCCACTGTTGATGATTTTAATAACATAGATAACAAGTGCTGTCAAGGACATGGAGAAATTGGAACCCTCACACAGTGCTGGTGGGGATATAAAATGGTGCACCTGCTTTGGAAAACAGCTGGCAATTCCTCCAACAGGGTTAGCATGAGACCCAGCAATTCTGATTCTAAGCTTATACACAATGGACATAAAAACGTGTCCACACACAATCTTGTATGAACTTAGCAGCACTATACATAGTAGTCAAAGGAAGAAACAACTCGGATGTCCATTAGCTGATGAATGTATAAACAAAATACTGTATGTCTATCCAATGAAATACTCCTCAGCATAAACGAAGTGCTAACACATGTGGCAACATGGATGAAGCTTGAAGACATGCTACATGCAAGGACCCAGTCACCAAGGGCCACAATGTGTGATTCCATTTGTCCAGAAAGGGAAATCTATATAGACAAGAAGAAGGGTTCTAGGGTGCAGTGGGCGGAGAGGGTTGTATAGAGATGGGAGTCACTGCTAATGGGTGTGGAGTTTCTTTTGGAGGTAATGAAAATATTCTGAAGTTTCCTGTGCTGGACTCATAGCTGTAAATACACTGGTAAAAATCCTTGAATCAATCCTGGGATCAAATAATAAGCCAGTATACTACCACTGAGCTGCATTCCCAACCCCGAGTTGTATGCTTCATTTTTAAAGTTACTTTGTGTTATCATACACTAATAGTATGAGGGGATTTCATTATAATTCCATGCATGTGTACAGTGTACCTTGAACAAGCTTGTCCCTCTGTTATGGTCCCATTCCCCTCCCCACCTTTCTTTTTCAGCCAGTGTTCGGTGGGTTTCATTCTGCTGTCTTCATATATGTATATGCAGTGCGCTTCCATCCTCTTCACCCCTCTCCCACTGACCCCTCCCCCAGACGAACTGTATGCTTTAAATGGGAGACTGGTATGGTCTGTACATTCTATTTTGATAAAGTTATTGCCAAAAAAGCCATCTTCTCTTGCCTTATCTTGAGTCCCTTTCTCAAGGGTAGGAATTCTGGCTTTTTCATGCATTGCACGTAGTAGGCACTTAATTATTGAATATGTGAATTAATTCCTAATAGCTATGTTCTTAGGTGCATGGTGGAGAGGCAGTAAATAGTGCAGGAATTAACTTCCAAATGCAGGAGTGTTACTCAAATCTGTGAGCCTGTTAATTCGAATAAATGCGGACCATCCCTCTGTGAATCCTGAGGTACTTGGGACACTGTCAGGATGATACACTAACAATATAGGGTGAGAAAGGGATTAAATCAACCCAAGGCTCTTAAAGTTTTGAGTCATTGTTGAATAACAAGCAGGGACTTTTGTTCTTTTCTTTTACTTTTTAAAGGTTTTCAGATCACACTGATTATACTCTAAGAAAGCACTGGTATCTGTGTTTTTGGGTTTTTTTGCAGTCAATACCTGAAATTCCACCAAAGCCTGGAGAGCTCAAAACGGAGCTTTTGGGACTGAAAGAGAGACAACCTGAGCCTCAAATTTCTCAGCACTAGAAACTTCGGAATGCAGTGGTGCCAAGAATTCTGTGAATACCAAGTCTTAAATACGTATTTTCTTAATTTATTTGAGTCAAACTATGTGTCCTGAAGCACCCAATTCAGGGCTAACTGCAAGGAGAGGTGCTGCATTGAAACTGATCTGGCGAACTTTCACTAAGGTTTGACCAATGTCTCATGAAAACTGCCAAACTACATATCCTTTTACTGATTTATTTCTCCAAATTAGCTTGAGTGTAATGGCAAATGAGAATTATAAATTAAATATAATAAAAATCATACTGACAGTGAATGTTTATGGGATATAAGTATTTCTCCAAATATTGGGAAGTACACTTTGTACTACATTGTATCAAAATGTTTAAAGTTTGAGGTTCTTTTGTAATTGTGTAGGTAACAAAATTATAACATTTGTGACTTGCTCTGTCATAAGGTCCTTAACCACCAATTTGAGAAACTCTCCAAATTTGAGAAACCTAATTAAAATTGTCATTTATTTTCTTATAAAATATATGTAAAAATAACTTAAGAACTTAAATGAGCATTGTTTTTGTTGAATTCAGTGTCCCTAAAAAGATGCTGACATCCTAGCCTCCAGCACTCGTGAATGTGATCTTATGTGGAAATAAGGTCTTTGCAAGTTTAACCAAGTTTAACCAGATGTGGTGGCTCTTGCCTGTAATGCTAGTGACTTGGGATGAGGAGATTGGGAGGATCAAGGTCCGTTCTGGCCTGTGCATAAACTTGAGGCCCCAACTCAACCAATGAGCTGGGTGTGGTGGCTTATGCCTGTCATCCTCAGTACTCAAGAAGTGTAAATAGGAGGATCACAGCCCAGGCTGGCCTGGGCATAAATGAGAAACCCTATTTGAAAAATAACGAAAGCAAAGAGGGCTGCAGGCATGGCTCAGGTGGTAAAGCATCTGCCTAGCAAGTGGAGGTCCTGAGTTTAAAACCCCAGTACTGTAAAAGATAAAAAATTTAAAAAACCAAGTTAAAGATTAGGGTTGGCCTAGTCCCATATGACTGCTGTCTTTATAAGAAGAAAAATTGCCATGGAAGACACAGATCCAGGAAGGCATTGTGTGACAAGAGAGGCTGAGACTGGAGTAATGCAGCTGCAAGCCAAGAAATGTCAGGGTTGGAGGGCCTCCACCAGAAACTAGGAAGAGGCAAGGAAGGCTCCACCCACAGCCACAGGTAGCATCCTGCCCACACCTGGATTTCAAATTTCTTGCCTCCAGAACTGTGAGAATAAATTTCTATTGTCTTAAGCCACCTACTTTGTGGTACTTTGTTATGTCAGCGCTGGGAAACAAACAAGCATTTTAACCCTTTCCTGAGTCTATAAATAGAGAATGAGCCGGGGGTGCTGGTGCATACCTGGAATCCCAGCACTCAGGAGGCTGAGGCAGGGAGATCAAGAGTTCAAGGCAAGGCTGGGTGGGGTGGCTCATGCCTATAATCCTAGCTACTTGGGAGGCTACAGTCAGGGGGATTGAGGTTTGAGACCAGCCCAGGCAAAAATGTTCAGGAGACCCCATCTCAATCAATAGCTGAGGGCAGGTGTGTGCACCTGTCATCCCAAGCTATGCAGGAAGCTGAGATTGGGAGGATCATGGTTCCAGGCCAGCACAGGGGACAAAAAATTTCTCAAGACCACTTCTCATTGAAAAAAAGCTGGGTATGGTGGCATGTACCTGTCATCCCAACTGCATTGAGAAGTGTAAAATAGGATTATAGTCTATGTGGGTGTGGGCAAAAAGTGACACTCTATGTCCAAAGTAACCAGAGTAACGGCTGGAAGTATGGCTCAAGCAGTACAGTACCTTTCTAGCAAGCATGAAGCTTTGACTTCAAATCCCAGGGCAGCTAAAAAAGAAAAAGTTCAAAGTCAGCCTGGGCCTATATGCAGCCAGACTTTGTCTCAAAAACCACACACACACACACACACACACACACACACACACACGTTTTTGTTCAGGGTGGTTTTTCTGTAAGAAGTACTTGATTTTCTTTTCCTCTGCCATGTCATTTTGTGTCTTAGGAGATGCTTCAACATGAGAGGAGTTTTGAGTTGATGTTACCATTTTATTTACTATGATCTCATGCATGAGACTTCTCTGGATAAATCCATAGCTGCCATTAACTGGATCCTTTTTTTCTTGAAAAAAATCACGTTTTTTAGAAACAATGAAGCTTGTTTGGCACAGCTGCCAATTGACTATAAGGACTTTATCAGAGAAATTTGAGATCTTCTTTAATTAAAGGAATTAGAAAGTGGTTTACAAAAAATGCTAACTCTGTAATTCAAATCTAGGTGCTCAACTTCCTCAAACAATTCCCAAAGGCTTCAGGAAGGATATAAGTTGTGTTGATTTAGTATAAGTCAACAGTAAAATCACAGGGAATCTAATTTTAATCAATTGAATTTGCTAAGTGGAATTTAAATTTTGTGTGTGTGTGTATGTGTGTGTAGAAGTGGAGTTTGACTCAGCTTCATTCTTGCAAAGCAGGCACTCTACTGCTTGGGCCACACTTCTGGTCTAGTTTGCTCTGGTTAGTTTTGAGATGGGGTCTCTCAACCTATTTCCCTGGGTTGGTTTCAAACCTTGATCCTCCCAATCTCAGCCTTCCGATCACCTACGATTACAGGCATGAGCCACTGATGCCTGGCTAAATTTTATTTATTGTTAAACTGCTATTTTCAAATTCTAGTTCTCCACTAAGTTTTGTATGTAAACACCAAATTGGTGAACTTTGACAATGGGTTTTGTAGATGTAATAAGTCCCAAGTAACTTTCCAGAATGAAGGGCTGGGGGAATGGAAAGAATGCTCTTTGAACCACCTGTGCACAAGGGGAGACCCCCCACACCAGTCCTGTGAATGAATGAGGTGAACCCTAATTTAGAAGCACTCCATACCTTCTTTTTACAGATAAATGACCTGGCTACTTTGGAAAAGTGTCATGGTTTAAACCCAACTCTCCTACAAGACAATGACTTCATGAAGGTGAAAACTTAATTTTATAGCTATTAAAATAATTTTTTTTAACCAAAGTAAAAATGCCATCTTCTGTTAAGTGCTGGTTCTAAGTGATTATCATGAAGATACATACTTTCATACTTTCTTCCCCTTTTAAAGTTGCTCTCCCTTGTGAAAAATACATTGTGATGGGCGTGGAAATACACCATCCAGATTCCCCAAGGGGAGTGCTGTCAATGACTAGTTTTCAGTTGTCACCTCCTGCAGGGATTGCCTCAGCTACAGAGGCCCTGCTCAAAGCCATGCCTCCTGTGGGGCCCATATCCCAGTGACTGATGGGAAGTGGGACAGGCCTGACCATTTCCCCACAGTTGGCTGGCAGGCCGTTTTTAGTTGCACAACTTCACCAGGAGTTTCCTGTCTCTGCCTTTAGCCCTGTGTTACAGCTCAGCTCCATTCAGTTCCATTCCCTTTCCCTCAGGTGTGGATCCACGGACATTCAATAAACATCCTGGTGTCTCTGGAGAATGAAATCTGTGATATGTATACACTGAAAATTAAGTTAGGCCAGGGGTGTAGCTCAGTGATAGACTACTCGATTAGCATGTGTGAGGCTCCAGGATTCATCCTTAGCACCGTAAAATATAGAAAGTACTAGATTATTCCCTAATAAAGTTATGATTTTTAAAAATCCTAGGTAGACCAGTTGCATTCTATTGGTAATTTAGGTAGGCCAAGTTAAATTGGTTTTGTGCAAACAGAGCTGCTTGTTTTCATCAGGAACTGAGGGAGGATGGTTTTTCTACTTCCTGCTGGAAGACGATGGCAATTCAAAATTTCTAACTACAGGACCCTGAGGAACCAATTCCAGATGCCACTAATTTAATACACTGAATGGCTTTGACTTTTACAAATAGATAGTAATATTCATTAAAAATGGTAATTCATGGGCTTGAACTGCAGAGTAACTGCCTAGTAAGCACAAAGCTCTGAATTGAAACCCTAGTAACTGCAAAGAAAAAAAAAATGGTAATTCATAGTGGAAACAAACATTACAAAAGCTACAACTTAAGTAATGCACATTTCCCCTTTACTGAGTTGTTTGATTTCTTGTAAGAAAAGCAAGGCATATTTTAGTTTTGTTTCACCATGCTGGAAATCAAACCCAGGCAGGGCCTCACACATGCTAGGCAAATGCTCTACCACATTGAGCACTGAGTTTATTTTTAAAAGATACACATTCAAGTAGGGAAGCTGGCAATATCAAAACATTATTGCAACTAACCCTAGAAAAATACCTGAATGGCAAGGGGGAAGCATAAACAGAAATAAGCCCACAAATCAGGAAAATTGTCAAGTCTCTAAGAAAACAATAGTACATAGATTAGGTTTCAGTTTTCTGATACACCAGCTCATGGAGTATGTAAGACATCTGTCCCTAGTCCGTAGAGACTTATCATCATTTTAGGTGGCTGTAAGCCTAATTATTTTACTCTTAACAACAGTACATTTCAAAAGAAATCTATAGTTGTGTGGAGCTTCATCTAGTGCCATAATTATCTGTGGTAGGATTATGGATGTTCATAAAAGATTTAAAATTTCATTTTGGCATAAATCTTCACAACTACACTGCCCCCCCCCCCCCCGCCACATACCCTCCAATGTTTCTATCAACATTATCACCGTGGTATTCAGAATTAAGGAACAAAAACTGGCACATTACTCTCAAATGTAACTTTGATTTGCCTTAGTTTTCTACTTAATGCCTTTGTGTATCAGTGGGGACTGAACCCAGGGACTCCAGCATGCTGGGCAAGTGCTGACCATCTGAGCCACAGATCCAGCCTTGAGTTCCAGGATCCAAGCGGGGGTCGGGGGTGGAGACAACACCCACACTGCATTTAGCTGTTACATATGCTCAGTCATCTCCAATCTGTGACAATTTCTCTTCTGTCCTTCATGACCATGAAACTTTTTTTGGCAGTTCTGGGGTTTGAACTCAGAGCCTTGAGCTTGCTAGGCAAGAACTTTACCACTTTAGCCACACTGCCAGCCCTGGCCTTGAAACCTTTGTAGAGTATTGTTCACATGTCCTAGGTTTGTTTGAGGTTCTTCTCACTAGGTAATGGGCTTTTGGACAGAATACCAGAGAGAAGTACCTTTCTCTCCACATGCTGTACTGGGGGTACATGGTATCACTGGTGACAGTAACCCTGATCACTTGGATAAAGTAGTATCTGCCACTGCTTTTCCCTTTACATACTCTAAAAGGGAGTCACGAAGTTGAGCTCCACTCCCTGGGACTATTTACATGTATTTGGAATCCCTCTGTAAGAAAGATAACATCTACTCTGTGGCAATTTTTAAATTTTGGTCCTACTGGGGTTTGAACTCAGGGCCTCATGCTTGCTCAGCAAGCACTCTACTATTTAAACCACTTCACCAGATCTGTTTTTGGTTTTGGGT